AAAATCTTCATACATCCACCTACAAGTACACTGTAATTAACGACAAATCTGGATGATTTAATAACGAGTATAGCTTGTTGCTATAAATAATGCAAATGCTTGCTAATTAATAATTCCTTTAGCCTCCTGTAAAGAGATAGTTCTACTTTGTTATCAAAAGTTTTCAATTTTGTCATAATTATTGGATAAGTTTACATAACTTATGAAAATAGAAGTACCACAGTTCATACCTTGAAGGATAGCCAGTAGCAGATATACGCACGGTTTCCAGAATTCCGCAAGCTCGCAACTGTTGAATGGCTCGTTTAGGTTTGAATGTAAATGGTAATTTCTCATCATTCGGCTTGATGCAACGTACGTAGTGTGGTCGTGTGGTACTCAGCACAGCTCCATTTTATACCACATCATTAGTACTCAACAACCTGAAATAATTAATCAATGCAAAAACAATATAGAAAGTCCCCTCCACGTGCTGATCGGAATTAACAATTTATCAAGCGTACACAAAAAAATGCCGATCCAGAAAAGTAGCGCTACGACCCGTGTATGGATTTAACTAACCGTAAGAATGTCGTTGCAAATGAGCTCACAATCGTGTATTAGCTCTCATAAATTAGGTTGGTTGGTTGGAAGATTGTGTGGAGTTAGGAGAAGGTGGGTAGAAAAGGATTACTAGAGTGCACTGAGTTGAAACACAGGAGGAACATAAGGAGAAACAGCTGTTAGCCGTGGGAGACAATTTGGTGTGTCCTACTTACTGATACAAAGAGCCATTAGGTTCATCGGTGTCTTCCGAGAGTTCTTGTTGTCCATAAAAACGATACAGGAATTCCACTACCGCTACCATCATAACGCGAAGTCGGCAAATAGGAAATAATAGTGTGAGCCAAAGAAGGAAATCAGAGATGGTGTGAGAGATGAGGCAGTGGTTGGCACATGGCATTGATTTTTCTTGTTTCTATCTCCAACCGAAAGTTTCATTTTTTTCTTTTGATTTGGCATCAACTGCTTCGTTTTATGTGGTATGGATGGAAGGAAGGAATAGGGATGTGAAAATCTCGGCCGGAAAAATGAAATCAGTCGTCCGTTGTGTGTTCACTTTTTCGTCCACAAAAATTTTATCCGTTCTTATGGATTTTTTTATTTTGTTGCTGCTGTTAAGATAAATGAAATATATTTAGGAGTATGGCGCCCAGAAAACGTTCTACATCAAAAACCAGTTCAAGTTCTTCATCAACGGAACGGTATATTAATAACAGTAATTCACTTATGTTTTCATAACTGATTAGACAGGCGCGGAATTCGCTGTCTGATTTCAGATCACGTTCACGAAGTCGTACTCGTTCAAAAACCCGAAGTCGCAGTAAAACTTATTCACCTGAACGTGGCGAAGAGGGACGTCTTCATGTAGCGAATATTGATGAGTCAGTACGCGCACGAGATTTAGAAGAAGCATTTTCGTAAGAGTTTCTTCTTTATGTAATTTTAGTAGCAGTCACTAACATCTGATGTAGTTTTAACCTGTGTGATGTATCTCATGCATTCTAAGCGTTTTTGATTTTTATCTGCATCGAACTATACTTTTTACTGTACATCTTCTTCTGTTTGCAGACGTTTCGGAAAACTCTCCGAGGTTTGGGTAGCGAGTTATCCACCACTTTTTGCATTTGTGGTGTTCAAGAATAAGTCGGATGCAAATGAAGCTTTGGCAGCATTGAATAACACGTAAGTTGCAAATCGTTCTTAGAATTCTTACATAAGGTTGATGAAATGATGCGGTTCAATAATGACGATAACTGTTTTCCGATGGATGAACTTGAATAATAATGTACACCATATCGGATATCTCATGTGATACTCATGCATATGGCTGTGCAGCTGCATGCGATATGATTTAATATATTTTTACCGGAAAAGCAATTTTTGAAATATTTTCTCTGCAGATACATCCGTAACTGTCGAGTGCGCGTTTCGGTGGCTTTACCTCGAGTTCGTGCTCATGATCGCTATCGCTTTGGTGGTGGTTATGGAGGTGGTTACTATGGTGGTGGTGGTGGTTATGGCAGGTAGTTATTGGTGTTCCTCATTTCATAAATTAATTTTTAGTCTGGATAGATGAGGTTTTAAGAGGATAAAGAAAGAAAATGGATTTTTAGATATGGGGGTTACGGCGGCAGTCGGTATGGAGATTATGGGCGTTACGGCGGATATGGTCGTGATCGAGATAGACGGTGAGTGTTGTAAATCTGAATAAAGTAAGGACACTGTAGGGGAGTGGGGATGAAAGATGGCTTAGTAAAAGTTATTCAGTTATATTTTCCTGAAATACTGCCTTTCAGCACTCTATGATGTCCATTTCTCCGGGATGGGTGGGATATACGAAGGGCTATCCATTAAATTAGTTTGATATAGGCCTGGATGATGGTAAACTTTGGTTGCTTTGTGTGTGATGGAATCATTATGGACAGTGTTGAAACTTTGGTGGTAATTGGTTTGTTGGCTCGGCTCCCTCCGTCGTCCATATTGTTTGGAATGGATGAGCCGAGCTGTGCATTGGTTTTGATGTTAATGGTCCATCATTTTGTGTTTTTGGCATCCTCTGGAATATTGTTGTTGGAAAATGGAGGAAGTGTATGGTGATGGGAATTCTGTAGTGCACGATTCGCAATTCTTTTGAAAATGGTTTTTATTCATTTTTCGGACATTGTGCAACAAATGTGCCACGTTTCAATCATCTATAAAGGAGGTGTTCTCCTCTTCGCACCACCCATGAAATGCACTTTTTTTCCTGTTTTTTATTTCACCTTTGTGACTACGATTTTTCTTTTTTTTCTTTTTTCTTGTTTTCACGAACTATGAAATTTGGGCTTAACATAGGCTGTTCAGAAAAGTTTGAACTTTGCTTCCTATGTTCAGGAATTTTGCTCCAGGATGATAAAGAATTTTTGCAGCATGTATTACTGTTTTGCTTAAATAATTTACTATTTTTTGCAGACGATCACCGCCACGCCGAGAACGCGAACGTCGCAGAAGGTGCGGTAACCCTTTCCGTTTTTTTTTCTTTTTTTTTGGGTGGGGAGGGGGAAAGTAGGAGAGGCGGTATGAAAGAAGGAAAGGAGAGGGAAATTGCCAAAAATAATAAAAATGCCTATGTAACCATATTTACATCCTCTCTCTGGGAATATGCTAAAATGCATTTCAGATCTCGTACTCGCTCACGATCACGTTCACGTTCTTCTTCATCTCACAGTCGTTAGAACATCAGTTCCACAAGAAACATTCTAAAGTTTTCGAAATGATCGAATTGCTGCAGACGCACATATTTTAATATGTTTCTATGTTTGATTTTTAACCTCATGTGTCGTTTTTAATTTTTATTCAAATTCCACATTAAATTGCATAAATTTAAACTTTTTAACCCCAATCAACTGTGCAGCATCATTCACTGTTTGTTTACGAAATAATTTTTTACTAACCAGTGAGTTATTTATATTTCAAATTTTAAATATCCGTGAGTGTTTGAGGAGAGTTAAAGCAATGTATAGAATGAATTACTGGCGCAAAGCTAGAATTCTACGTATTCCCAAGTATTGAACTTATGCTTAGGTTTCAATGATATTATAAGCAGTTCTTATACTGGCTGTGATAAAGTACGAATAAAATGCTCTTATTGGGACTTTCACAGTTTTATCTGCTAATGTTGTTTTTTAAATAATAGCAAGCCAGGTAGCGAATATTAATACCTACATTTACGTATTTTTGTCTGGGATATTTATTCTTTTTTTGTCTTTGTGGTTGGGAATTTTGCAGTTTGGCAGCATTGAGATTGTCATTTGTTGTTCAGTATGAAGTTGTTGCTGGCAATAAAGTATTTGGTCAGCATATTTAGTGTTAAAAGCGTTATTCCGTATGATCACACAAATTATTTTAGATTTTTGAAATGGAACAAAAGTTTATTAAGTTAAAAGTTCATTGTCCACCGATCTAACCAAATATCTGTCATGGATAGAAGGTAATCGCGATAAAATTCTTTCATGAGCCGTGGAGTACTTTGTTCAAAATAGCTTGCATCATTAATGGTTGGGAAGTCATTTTTAGGATATAGGATGGGCAAATGGAGAGAAGTGTGTGCGGAGGAAAAACAAAAGACTTGCAGTCATAGATTAATGATTAGCACTGGTGATTTGCAAGAATGATGAAAACTGTGTATAGCAGATTGAATCGTAAAGTGCAGTGTTCATTAGCGGAGAACCAAAACCATGCATACATGTGACTACCTTTTAGGCCCTTTTCGGAAGTACTCACTGAATATAATGTCTATGCATAAGAGGTTATCAAAACGAAATGCTTATCAGCTACTCCTCATGCATAATTCTCTGTTATCTATGGCTAAAGTTGGTACTTCTGGAAATCGAAAATCAGAATATGGCGATAAATTAGATGGTCGTAATGAAAGCCTACCTCAGGATATCCCTTGCAGCGAAGAGGAATGCCAACAGTCGGAAGGTATATCTCTTCCTTTTGTTCTCGAGTTAATAGTGAGCTATATTTTACTTTCGATACTCTCCACCTGTTAAAATGCTATCCTTAGGTATAAAGTAAAGGACATATGAGAGGTGTATGAACATGGGATATGAGAGGTGTATGAACATATTTAGAAGTTTTAGTGTTACACGAGATCATAATTCACTGCCGGCATTTTTGGATATTTTTCGTTTTAGGGAAGTTTGAAGTAGCAAAAACTGATTATTATGACAAATTGGTAGTAAATGTGGAAGCACTGATGTCGAAGCAGGTGAGGTGAATACTAATAAATGGTAATGAAATATATGTAAATGTGTTGGTTTATAATCGATTGCATGTGGAAACTCAAATGAATTCATACTTTATTTGACTTTATATTAAAAAGTATTGTATTGCAAATAGTTTACTTATGTTTATATTTATTATGTTTGTATTCAGTTTCTTATTTAATATCTTGCAATGCAGCTTTGTCAAACACGTGAAGTCAATGTTGATAGCAGTGAGACCATAAATATGAAGCTGAATAGTACCAGAGCTGGCGAAACTTCCGTTAGGTATGTAGATTATCAGTTACTTGTGGAGGACAAAGCTGTATTTTTTCTTGCTTATTTATTTTGCTTCTCCAAATTTTTTTTGCAAGTTTTAGATCTTTGAGAAGATCGCCAAGAAGAAGTTACATTAGTACGTCAGCACAGAATGAAGGTTTGTGTTTGCAGTGGGATTATTTGAACGTAGAAACCTGCTGATAATCTCCAATGTTCATCGTATCTGATTCTTTATGAGCTCCTTAAAGGAAATTTATTGTGCCAATCTTGAAATCATTTTACTGAGTTTAGTCTGGCTATTTGGGTCTCTGGTTTAGCCAGCCATCTTTCAGTTAACTTTTTATCTTATCCAATCTTCTCGAAGCTTGTCATATTTTTACATAACACCTCTTTTCTGCACTAACAAAGGATTTATCATGAAGTTCGGGAGAGATTTCCATCACTGTATAAATTTGAAAGCTGTGTCTTTATATCTCATTAAAATGACCTGAAATTTTTTGTAGAAAAAAGCGAGCAAAATGTGAAAGAATTGACGAGTCATCAAAAATTCTTGAAACTTTGCAACATCAAAAACCATAGGTTTGTTGAATTTTCTTATTTACGATCTCAGAGGAAATGGCATACTCAGTAATATTTGGTACCTTTTTTTAAATCATTCAATGCAGTTTTGAATGTGTTGAAATATTTAAGCAATATCAGGAGTGCTGGTTACCGCAGTCAGTAGGGATATCTTTAACTGTAATTTAGCGTTCACTCAAGTAAACTATTTTTTTTTCTTTGTATTACTATTTTTTTTCTTTTTTAATTTAAACCCCCATTGCTATAGATATTTTCTGGTGTCTGACGAGTCGAAAATGCCAGTCGTTGCGTTTTCTCACCTGCCATACAACCGAGAACAATTGACACCTAGTTATAGTCAAAGGTATTAATATCATACTTTATGAAAGCACGAGATTATCACTTTGCATCGAAATTAACTCGGCTTTATTCTGTTTACCTTTAGAAAGTGATGCAGCTTAAATGAACTTTACAACTATATTTCAACGAATACTTCGTATGATAAATCATGTATTTACTGTTAAATACTTAATTTCGACTCCCACCACCCATTTTTTCGTAACGAGATGATAGGTTTCAGTGAAGACTGTGATCGATTAGGAGTTGTTTCGTTTTTTCATGGCAGAATCAAGCCAATCAACTATAAGCACATGCAGGTTGGAATTGCTCTAATATACCTGCAGGATGTCTCCGCTCTTCCCTTTTTCTTGTTATCTCTTATTGCACAGTTGTTCTTTCTGTGTTTTACCCTGTGAATAGTGCAGGAACTCAGTTTTCGTGATTTGATTTCAACAAATGTGGGCAGTACTTCATATTTATCAAAGGACAGTTCACCATTTCGTAAGCATTTCAATGGTGATGACAAGAGCTCGGTAAGCTTGCATGCTAACAAATTGCTTACAGATATCTACTCGTTCTATTCAAAAAGTATAATATATCCATGTATATCTCTAAATACTTTTAGTTTTTCAGATTGTAATATATCCAAGCATTTCTACTCGATGGCATATATTGTCTTGCGACAAAATTATAGGTATTAATAATCCGTTAAGGTCATATGCATATTTGCGATGCCATATATTCATTTTTTCCACTGTTGTATTACTTTTATTTGTATCTTGTTCAGGCATCGAAACTTTCAGGCAGAACAGAGGAGGAGTCATTATTACTGCATTCAACAATATGTGATTCTAGCGGTAAAAATTCAACCGAATATGATCCAAATCTTATAGCAAATTTTGATTCCGACTGCCGCATTCGCAAAACTGTGATGAAATTCTATGGATATGTAGTAGGCTTTTTCTCCCTCCCTAGACGGCAGCTTTTTTTGTTTTCACTTGCTGAATTTTTCTGCCATTACGTAATACTAACGATAATTTCCAATTCAGAGTACAGTAATGCATTACCAGCCAGATAGTGAAGTTAAACGTTTAGTAAACGAAGCATTTCGATCACGTTTCCCTCATGTTCACGTCTCCTTTAGCAAAATTAACAGGTTTCCATTTTTGTTTTTTTTTTTTCTTTCTATCTTGTTTTATATTTGTTACAACATAAATCGATTTATTTACTTTCATCCACTAGAGTAGTTTGACACACTCTTCATTTATTTTTTCTAATTTGTCGATTTTATTTCAGTTTCCTTTTCAGTATTAAACGAGAGCTTCACCAAATAGCTGTTGCATGTAATTTAGAAGATACTACTACGGCACACGCCTACGTTTTCTATGAGAAAGTACTCCTGAAGGTCCTATTTAAAGAACTTAATAATGACTACTTGAAAAGGAAATTTATCAGATCAATAATTTAGTTCACGTTCGACATTTGTTAAGTTCAAGGGATTAAATGGCTGCCAGGCACTGTGTACTGAAAGACCTATCATCAAACCTAGTATTACTTGAATGGAAGCAATATTCCCTAACTGATTCCATTTCTCATCGATTATTGATACCTAAAAACTATTTGTTTGTAGGGCTTAGTGTGTAAAATGAATCGAAAACTGGTGGCTGGAGCAGCTCTTCTAATTGCAGCAAAAATCACCGATTTTGGATCAACGTATATTTCTGATGTTGTAAACGTTAGTTTTACTTCAGAACGATGAAATTATCTGAAATTTTTCATTAGGTCCGTTTTTGGAATTGATTTTAAATAAATTTCAAATTAATTTGAACTCAAATTTCCAGCATTTGGAATCAACATTACGGGTTAATCGCAAAGAGCTCTTACGATATGAGATACCACTTTGTGCAGCACTTAGTTTCAATTTGAGGGTACCTGTTTGGCAGCTTTTACCGCATTACCAGAGGATCGCTTTAACAATATTATAATTGGAGAATGTTTGCAGTTTTTGTATGTAACTGTTCAAATAAATTTTTGCTTCTCTGACAAGTTATAGTTTGAGACAAAATTTGGTGAGATAAAATTCTAATAAATTCATTCAAATTACCTCACCAGTAATCTTTACTACCAGAATTGAACAAATTGCGACAAACTCCCGTACGACACACTCAGTCACACCATGAAATCGCATACTTCCAGCCAATCAAATCCATGAGGATCTAATCCAATCCATCAGGATCATATGTCAGCTAGTTCATCGCTCTTCTGCTAACTGTTTTCCCATAAAAGTTCCAGGTTCTTTAAGTTTATTTTAGGATCCGAATGAAAAGAACTAATTTGTATCGAGAACATATCTTTACGGGCTTCAAGCAAATTCAAAAGGCAATATTAAAACCTCCAAAAACCTTGTAACCATTCTTCCTGCTGTTTCGATCGTTATTTCTGATAAATACAGTGAGTAAATTTTGGCATGGATATTTCACAATAACTTTCCGCAAGTTTTAGCTGTGTACCACCACATAGGCGATTGCTGCTGAAACTTCAATCTAGCAAATTCTGGGTACGATTCTTCTCGATCTCCCACTTTTATTTTTATTTGAACTTCAAATTCAATAACATCTATAACTTTACTAAGTGTATCATCCGTAGATTTGTTGTCCCTTCTCAATTTATAGCATTGGAAGATAGCTATTTCTTGCATTGCTCTTATGTTCCCTCCAAATAAAACCTTGATAGTGTATTTAAATGTTCTTCACATAACAAATTCATGAAGTTTTGTAGTGAAAGTATAAACCGGAAAAATGATATAAATGGAGCATTAGTCAGAAAAAATGGTTTGTTTCGTGACAAAGTTACGATTTCATTTGCCTGAAACAGATTTCGAAACCGGATGGGACGTCATTCGCCACACGAAACCAACTGTAGGATAAATTAGCTTCCAAGTTCGTTTTTAGACAATCGAAGATGTTGCCAGTTAACGAGGAGCATTAAACTACCCAATTGCCTGCTACAAATAATCAAATAATCTAGTTCGGTACCACAGCGGTCAGATCTGCTCCAGTTTTACAATTATTAGTTAAAATTGAATTCGCCATCCACAACCACAAAAAAAAAACCTTCACTTTTTCTCATTCTCTTGACCATCGTTTCTAAATCTTACAATAAATTAAAATTAACCTCAAAGCGTGAACACAGCGCCGCACCCGGGAAACCGTGTATGAAAATAAACTGGAAAGTGCACATTTCACAATTTGTATTTGGCGCAATAAAAACAGTCAATCTTTCTTGCTGCGAACAACCAAGTTACACCATACTATCAATACATATTCCGCGAGTCATTTCTTGACTCTAATAAATCACTTCCAAACCACACTTTTCAGTCAGCAAATCAGAAATCAATGACCCGTCTCACTGCCGAGTATAACATGAGGTACATCGATTTCATCTTTCCATCCAATTTGTCACCTACTTAGAATCAAATGGGAAAGTGTAAGTCAGGATTTATTTTATGCTCCATACAAACAAACCGAGAATTTATCGAGCACACCTTTCAAACGAATAAAATTTAAGGGAACAAAGAAAATAAAAGCCATTCCTTTTCTGAATTATCTTCGACCAGCCACTCCCGTATTTGCTGTTTTGTCGGTCATTGGAATGCTCAGTTCCTGCAACCAACCCTTGAAGCAATTTATCATAAAACATTAACTTGCAATATATTCTGTTTGAGCTTGCTCAAGAATCCCATTCAACTGTGACACTTATAACCACAGATCACTTTGTAGGTAGTAATTTTTAACATAACTAGTGGTCCAACAAAAACTAAGAGAATATTTACTTAAAACCATTCTAATACAGCTTGATGAAGCAGGATGGCCCAATGTTATCCGCAGTTAAGCCCTGCAAGTAACGTTTCAGTAAATTCTGACCATACTCTTAATCCGGAAGAGAACGTCCAGTTCTCCCTTTCTCCCAATTAAGAAGTATGGGGACGCAATGTTCAAATTTTGACAAGTTAAGCTTCACAGCTATTTTAATGAAATACATGCAGTGTCGGTTTATCCGATAATATCCTAGATTGAATCCCAAAATGACCAATATAATAGGAGCTGATGGCCATAATTTACTAACATTTACGACCACTCTGGTAATATATTACTCCTGTTATGTTTACGAGTGCAACAAGCCAAGAAAAGCGATGAAAACAGGAAGTAACAAACCATTGATTCAATCATCTGTTTGGTCTCCGTATCTACTTCAATTGTGGTCAACATGCGCGGATCAACGACAGAAATATCCGGCATATAATTATCGCGACGTTCTCTTTCTTCCTCTTGCAATTTAATTGAAATGCCACGAACCGGTCCCTTCTCGATACGTTTCATCAAGTGCGTTATGTAACTGAAATAACTGTTGTTTAACTCTGAAACTATTTTGCCGAAACTCCAACCGATTTAAAGAACATCACATAAATTTTGTTGCTTTCCCAACGCTCGAAATAATCAAGTATTCTTCAAAGAAGGACACTGATGCATTCTTCATTATAATCATCATCCATTTGTGTCACAAATTTTTGAATAGCGACCTGAGTAAATTCATCATGAAATTGCTAAATACTTTTCTTAAATGTCGCACTCATTACTGTGGGACTGAAATGCCTACAGGAAAATTTAGCTCTCTAAACTCTATCAGGATGAATATTGTGATAAAATCTGAAATGAAAATGGAATTTAAGCAAAGTTGTCGGTACACTGGCTTCAAGTAAGTCATTAGCACTCAGATATATTCATCAATTCAATTTCCACTTACCCCGCAATACGGTTCCTCATTTTTTTGCTCGGAATGACAGCAATTTCCTCGCAAATTCGCTTATTTGTATGGAAGTCATGCGTCAGCTTAGTGTAATATTTTTCGATAATCACACGGGAAGCTTTTTTTACGGTCTTTGTACGTACACGTCCGCAAACCATTGTTCTACGCGACTCACGTCACTCTCTACTCTGAAAACCCATATAAATTATATCACACGCAGAGATTCAACCTTGAAAAAAAAGGTTGTGTTTTCGTGAACCAGTCAAAAGTGGTGACCTAAAACTTTCATGAATCTACACAAGAACTCGCAAAAAATCAGACCCATAACCTCCGAAACCCTCCCACACCCCAGGAACTGTCCAAAATTGGCAAGTTCAACCAAAAATCTCCTATCGCACCCCAAACCTCAAAAGCTATGGTAGCCTGAAGTTTTCGCTTTCCGGACATTATGCAAATTACTCATCTCAAGCATTCTACAGAGTATAGTGGTTCCAATACGGTAAATGAGCATCACCTTGTGAAAATTATTGTTGCACAGAACAATACTTATACTTCACTTTAAGGTGGCGATAAATCCTTTTCAGCATTTTCCGCTTTTCTTCGTCATCACAATAATTTTAAGGAATGCTTGCTATCGTTCTCATCTTAGAAATGTTGTAATTAGCTCAAAAGATTTGTATAACTTGGAATGTAGTGGGATAATTCCTGAAGGTATCTGATACTTTTTTTCTCTTTTCATTTTCCTGGCGAATGGAGCGAAAGAAAAATTTCCGACTCTTAGTTTGATTTTTTGCCTGTTACGTACGGCTAAACAAAACTGTAGTGACCCTCAAGGAGATGACACAGGTCACTGATCCTTTGATCGATAGATTTTCATTTTCATGCTTGAATCCTTCGGGTGAAATTTCGAATTTTTCATGAATTTCATTCTCCATCTTGTCTTTTCTGATTTATTATGCCGAATGGAATGAAGATAAAGTGAATCGCATGAGGAAAACACCGGAAAAGACAAGGGGATATTTCTTTACTTGTGTCTAAATTATTACTTTGTTTTCAGGAGAAAGATCAATGAGAAGGACAAGATGACACGTAAGTGTTGTTACTGCAAGGCGGGAATGCCCGAAGTAACGTAAGTCATCTCCCATAAGCATTCCTTATTGATCCTTCAATGGGCTGTTAATTAGTTTGTTTCATATTTATCAAACAAACTGTATACGTTGTGATTATTGCAAATTTTCAGTCAAATTTCAGTCCATTTTTTTTTTTGGTTTTTGATTGCCAAATCTTTATTTTAATGCTCCTTCGAACATATGTTTTAGTGTAAGCAGTGAAGGTGATTCAAAATGTGAAAAGTGTAAGAAGAACGAAGAGAAATATAAAACAAAGGTTACTCTTATGATTTAAAAGTGGTTTTATAATGTCATTTTTTATTTCTATAACTGGATAGTTTCTTTGGTTCATTAAGGAATGTTTCAGTTCCCCAACTAATTTAACCACTGAACAGTGGATTCTGCTCTTTAAAGAAACCAATTATATCAGACAATCCGTGTTAACGCTCCAAGGTAGCACGAGACTCTGCTAATAATAATAATTGTTTGATTTATTTCAGCCAACGATATGTATGTACTGCCAGCTACAAGCTGCTTTTGTTGCTAACAAATGTGTTTGGTGTTGTCATGCTGAGAGGAAGTATGGATTACCAGTGCAATGTTCTCAGTGCCTTCAGAAATCTGCCTTTGTTAGAGAGCCCTCGGAGAAGGTTGCGAATATTTGTGACCATTCATGGCTTATCATTTTCACTTCTCAGAGAGACTGCTATGAAGTTAGCTCAATATATTGCATGGAAATGTTTTGCTAAAGAACTAATTTAATCCTATTCTAATCATAGCATTAAATGACTTATAGGATAAACCGCTGTATTGCCGTTTATGTACAATGTCTAGAAAGGCAATGTTTGGAGAAGCTGCAACATATAGCAATATATCGAAGTCAAAAAGTAGCAGTCATTCGAAGCGGAAAAGAAATTCTTCTGAAAACAGAGGTGGAAAAATATCGAGGGTGAGAAACTTATACTTTTTGCACACCCTTTCGTTATTTTGCAAACTGTAGTCTTTTCATTTAAAGCAAATATAAAAAGAATAGAACGAGTAACGCTTTGTGTCCCAACAATGTAAAAGCTTGTTTTATATTAATCTTAATTTCAGCAATAATCTTCGTATTCTTAGAAAGCAAAATTATTGCCCAGTCTCTTTTAAATTAACTACGGTTCAAAGTGATTTTTTCTTCAGCGAAATGCGATGACGGAGACAACGTTAGACAGTGCTCATTCGGAACACATTTTTGTCATTCAACAGTATAAGGATGAAATTTTAGAACTGCAAAAGAAATGCTTCGAAAAAGACAGAGTTATACTGGAAAGGGATAAGAAGGTTAGCTTGTTGAAGTGATGAAGTTATTATCATATCCTCTTGGCGCACCAGCTTTAACTTTCTCGATTTCGGTACAGCTTCCTTTTGGAGAATCGCAGCAGTCGAAAAAGAAAAAAAAATTGTGTAGGACTTGTTTATTCAGAGATTTTTATAATAATATCGAGCAGATATCAATTACTTGAGATTGATGATCAGCCTCCATCATGAATCTACATAGGAAAGCTGATACTCCATAGCTAGTTCTGAATAAAATGCACCATGCATGAAGAATAATGCCTCAATCATCACCTCGGTATACTTAGCGTTTAATCCGCCTATTTTTGTACTGACCGATCATTATAGATTGCAGAATTGAATGCTGAAGTAATTATGCAAGAGCAACAAGGACGAATGAAAATAACCATGATGCAAAAGCAGCATGCCGAGTCGTTGCAGTCACTACATGATCAGATACGGACTTTAAACAAACAAGTAAATAAATATTTGAAAGTTGACAGTATTCCAATAAGATTTTATGGATTCTGTGTTATTATTCTGAACCAGAATTTTATTTGTGATGAGTTAAGACTGCTTGATTGTTTCAAACAAAGCTCCAATCTAAAACCCGATGATGTCGAATAATTTTTTCTATTTCAATTTTTACGTTTTGGTTTCCAAATTTCAGGTACGGCAGTTACAGAAAGGATTTTGACCGAGCATCTGTTTGTGTGATCTCTTTTTTACTCTTCCTAACAATGTTAGTACTTTTTTGTCATCATTCATAGTAGTGTAAATAAGTAGTGTAAATAAGTAGTGAAGCTTTCGACACCAGAATCACAGCACTTACCTCAGCAAATGAAATCCTTTCGGCAAGTGAACGAGGTATTAAGGTACTTACTTACTCGATCAAATTTATACTTGAAAGAAGTCGAATAGATGTCACTGTTCAATTTGCTGATTAGCTATTTAGAAAAAATTAATTGTTTTCTGAGATCAGTGATTTATATATCTTCTACATATCTGTTGTGTCTTTTGCACTAGCCTATCAGTGAATTTCGGCTCTTCAGCAGAATTTGGGGACAGTTAGAATAATTGCATTTTAATAAACATCTATCTGGAAGTAATGCATGCTATATTTTATAAAAACTATTTATTTTTGAAAAGAAAATAATTTGTGAGTGGCTTTATAATTATTTTCTCCATGTGGATTTCTTCTAGCAATTAATCGATGTTTTGGTATTCAAGTTCCTGTTATGGTTAGAGGACGACTTTATAGCTATTACACACATTTAGCATGATTTTAATTCATATTTAATTTTTGTTCAGATTCAGTTTTGTCATTTTATTTTTTCTCATGGTTGTTTTTTCTTTTTTTACCTTTTTCATATTTTATTCCTGTATGCTGTGTACCCTTGTAGTTTATGGTAATTATCTTGATGTTATTTATCATTTTGAAAGACATTTTGCTGATGAACTATTTAAATTTATGTTATTAGTCAACGGTATTGTCAATAGTGAAAAAGGAATATCATTGTTAATTTGCGCATCTAGTTTAAACAGTTAATGAATTTTACCCAAAAAAGCGTCGACGTGAAGTGTCAAAAAAATGTAAATTCAATGTGAAGTTATAAAACATTTATCTTAATTAATTCGTTAGTGCCTGTATGAAATTTCACGGTGATAATGCAGGTAATTCTTTCCGCGTTATAATTTAATATACAGCGTGTACTGGTGTTGTTTTCATAAAGTTTTAAATTTTGACGAATCAAATATTACATGAATATTTTTCTGCACAAACTTGTTAATCTTATTAACGTTTCTTTGGAAATTCTAAGACTGAGAATTTGATTAAAATTTAAGAACTGCTTTGATTTTGCGACATTTCAAAGATTAGATGTTTCAAGGAGAGATAAGAAAGGAAGGTGCTGGACACTGAATTTTGTAATTTAAATTGGAGCGGCAAAACTGTCATTAAGTACTCCGATCATTCGGTGCAGCATACCATCTAATAACGGAAATCTGCGCGTCATACATGATTTGTGTTGTAAGTTATTTGCCGCATCATGTCCATCTCATTTCATTATTTGCATCTATCTTGGTTATTATCATTAATGGTTGTGATCCTTGAAATTTGCAAACAATAACAAATGATAGATACTTCTGATCTGTATACATAGGATAAAAATAGATCAATCTCAGCGGAATGAATGAAATGCAATTCATTATTGTCTGTCAAGACTTTTGCAAGCATTATTCATCACAAACATTACTGAGGATAAATAAGAATTATAAATATCGAGAAAGAGAAGTTCAGAGGTTCAAAGTTTAAGCGATGGGATGAACTTTATATCATTTATGCTAACAAAATTTTTTAATCAGAGATTATATTTTTAGAAAAAGTATGTATATGCATGAAACTAAATTTGTAGTGGGTATAGTTTGAATAATCTTTGATGCGAAATGCATTATTTCTTATAGACCAGAAAAATTTAAAACCGAAGTAGGGGATATCAGATAGAATTTTCAATTACTACTAGTAGATTTAAATAACTAAACGAAAAACGGTTTTTATATCATATAAACATCGGTTTTTTATCCGAGAATCTCGGAAATTTTCTCTAAAGAGATTTTAATACGCACTACAGTTTAGAATCTTACAGTAGCTAATACTGATATAAAATTGATTCGGAAATCGTATAGGTGACAGAAAGTGTTTAATTATTGAATTTGCATTTAGTATCCCAAGGAAAGCATAGGTATAGTTGCTATGGTAATTCGTTTCATAATCCTGAAAGATGGAAAAAGGAAAAATGGATTAGTTTGTGTCCTTTATAACTTTGGTCAAAATGCCTTTTGCACCAATAAAGGATGGCCAATTTACAAGTACAATTTATGGAATGGTTCGTTTTGATAATTTTGGAAGAGAATAATTAAGTGAATCTAATCTAAGCACTTTTTCTTCAAAGATTTTGGCATTTTCTTGAAATGGATGATTCCAAGGTAAATATGCTAAATTTCTAAACTGAAACATCTGATAGTTTATCCAAATCATCCTTTTATTTCATTAACATGTACTAAGATCAAATGATATGACTAGTTCATTTGATTGTTATTTAATAATTGGAATTAAAAAGTTTTTATTAATTTTTGTATTCCTTGTTTTTTGAGAAATAACCAAAGGTGCGGATGGATATTGCATGATATGATACACATAAGCAAAAAACAATTTACCTTTTCTTATTGTACGTTGAAAGTGGTACATTACAAATTAATTAATGATACATAGCAATAAGCTTATAGGATTGAAAATTCTGCAAAATTGTATATTACAATCATAGAAGTCAGATGACTCAAAAGATGATGAGAAGTATGACAGTTTAACCAAAGTTAAGCATTCAAATAATGCTGAAATTAGAGCTCTGTTGAAATTAAGATAATAGATTGAGTTTCATCGTTCCTAGAAATAATTTAATTAAGAAATGGAATTCTCTAGATACACGAATGGCTTCAGTTCAGTTGTCGGGAGATAAAAAAGAAACAAACTAATGGAATGAAACTTTTTCCTGTTTAATTAAACGCTATTAATTAATGATTAAAATTTATGGTTTGTAGATCAAAGAAGGCCGACATGACAATGCAATTCGATCACTTCAATATGAATTGCAACGAGCGCCAAATGTAATTCTTAATCAGTTTGAACAATTTTCCTCTCTTTCTTATCATCGGCTGATAAGAATCGAATTAAATATAAGGAGCAGTCTTTTTCGGCAGACGAGAATTCCTTTTCTGTCAAATTGGAGCAAACTGAATTACGTGATACTTTGCATGATGAAAACTTTTTATGAAGAGAAAGAGAGCAAAAAAGAGAGGGAGAGAAATTATTTTTCTCAAAATATTAGCATAATTATAACGATGAAAAAAAGAAAAAAAAAGTTAGGGAATGAATATCTTGTGATCATACTGGAAATATTTGTTATTCAGGAAATAGAAAAAGTAATTCATAAAATTTACATAATTTAAACTTTTAAAAAATATATGGTTTTAGAGTCGAGCGGCACTGTCGTTACTCGGCTATTGCTATTTCTATCTGCAACAATTCGCAGAAGCGGCGGAATGTTACGAAAAACTTGTGCAATTATATTCAACCTATCCGGAATATAAACTTTATTGGGCTCAGTCTCTCTACAATGCTTTCATGTTTCCGGAAGCTACTGCTGTTGTTTCACAAGTGAACCATTTTCAAAAAGTGCTAATTAGATTTAGCATTTTCAAAGAAAACAAACAAATTTAAAAAATGAAATAATTAAAATTATGCATGAAACCCATGGAACAGTTTTAAGATTGATGATTCACAACTTGCTGGACAAGTTCTAAAATTGGAATCGGCAATTAAATATCGTGAAGAAGATATCGCAAATGCTCGAATGCTCGTTGAAAAATATGAAGTAGATGATCCGGACGGTGATATCAATCTAGCATGCCTTGAATATAAGGTTAGCCAGTGAAATAGAGTAACAAGTATTGGATGGGAAAGAACATATTATGCTTTCAGTTGTCAATTATGTTTCAGGAAGGAAATTACGAAAAGGCTCTTGAACGCTTCACAACTGCTACACATCTTCATGGTTATCAGGTTATTAAAATGTTGCAAAATTCAATTAATCATTTGCTCTTATTACTTTGAAAGGATTTATTGTCATCATTTCCAAAAGATTTTTCAGCCATGTTTGGCTTATTCAATAGCTTTATGCCATTATCAAATGTATAATTACTCGGAGGCATTAAAATTTATTGCTGATATCATTGATCGAGGAGTACAAGATCATCCAGGTAAATTTCTTCTTGAAAGGAGAAATTTCGAGAAAAAAGAAGAAAAAAAGAAGTTATTCTTGATTATCAGAAGTTTGATTGAGCAGAACTGTCAATTGGTATGGCAACGGAAGGTATGGATGTAAGTTCAGTTGGCAATACACGTCTTCTACACGAAACATCTTTGATCGAAGCGTGCAATTTAAAAGCAGCAATTGAATACAATCTGAAGAATTGTAAATTTTAATTTCATATTCTAAAAATTGTCAGTTATTCAGTACTAAAAATTATTTCGAAAATTTGAAATTTAATGGCTTAAACAAAGTTAAAAATCATTCACTGGAATGTGCACGTTTCATTCCATTTTTCAATTATCCAATATTTTGATAGTATCGGCAGCTTCTGAAGCGCTAACAGATATGCCACCAAGGCTGGAAGAAGAACTTGATCCGGTTACTTTACATAACCAAGCCTTAATTAATATGGATATCAATCCATCCGATGGCAAGTTCTTTCAATATCATTTTGAAATGTCAATCTTTCCATTGCATTCAGTTAATTAATCCTTCTGATCATTTGATAAGTTTCAGAACTTAATTTCGTTGATTTCATATTAAAACAAAAATTTTCCCACAAACGTATACTTCGTGACTACTTGCTTGCAGGTTTTGCAAAATTACAGTACCTCTTGAGCCAAAATCCATTCCCACCGGAGACATTCAGCAATTTGCTTCTTCTCTACTGTAAATATGAGGTGACATCATATTTTTCCGGTCAAAAGATATATGAAAAGGAAGCAATTGCCGGTGTTAGTTACCGGTGATCAGAACTTCTATCCAGTTATGAAAGAAAACTGATTAATCATTTTCAGTACTACGATTTAGCAGCTGATGTTCTGGCTGAAAATGCTCATTTAACAAACAAATATCTTACACAGGTAATTGATACGACAAATTTCATTATTACCAAAAATTCATATATTCATTTTGTAAAATTACTGTTATCATTGTTTCATAGTATTTGTATGATTATCTTGACGCAGTAATTACGCAACAAACAGCGCCAATGGATGCGTACAACAAGTTTGAAGCAATTGGTAATGAACAAATTAATGAATTGCGCAAATTGGCTAAACGCATAAATGTACGATTTTATTTTATAAAAAAGAAAAAAAATCATTATTAATGGAATTATTCAAAAAGAGAAAAATTAAAAATATATAAAGTAATGTTTTGCACCAATTTCAATTTTCTATCATAATTGAGACTCTTGGCTGGCTTCATGACAAGTTATATGTAACCATTCTTAGCTTCATGGCAAGTCATATGTATCCATTCCTGGCTTCATGACAAGTCATATGTATCCATTCTTGGCTTCATGACAAGTCATATGTATCCATTCTTATTCGAAATCAACAAACAAACGTAAATTTTTTTTTTTTTAGAGGAATTTTCTTCGATCTTTAAGTATCCATTTGACAGTAAGGATAATTCCTTAAATTGTAATAATTCAGGAAATTCGTCAAGAAAACGATGAGCTAAATGTTCAGAAAGTTGTCAAAGCATATGATGACACAATGGCTAAGTAAGTATTATTTTGATTTTTACTGTTATAGCATAAATATGAAGTTCTAGATTACCATTCCATCAACAGTATTGTCATTATGGGATGAATAGAATCAAACATACGAGACATTCTCAACAAAGCTTATAATGCAAATTATTAGAGAGAACGATGATCTCACTTTTAACATCTTAACTTTCTCCGAAATGTTTGCAGCATATCGTTGCAATTCTCTTTTGATATCGTACTAAATATGAATATTATTGATTGGATTGCATATGAAATTATAACATATAAGTTAGGAATCATTTGGAATTAATTTGAATTTTTAATACCTTATATAATAGTTTTACAAGTGGAAAGAAAAAGATTAACTTTTCAATTTTATTTTTCTATTTCTTGATATTCGTAATTGAATTTAAATTAAAAGCAGATATATGCCAGTGTTGATGTCGCAGGCTAAAATTTATTGGGATATGAATGATTACTCACAGGTCGAAAAAATTTTTCGAAAATCAGTGGAATTTTGTAGCGAAAATGATATTTGGAAATTAAATGTAGCGCATACATTGTTCATGCAGGTATCAAACTGTTGTCATCATTTAGCCAAGATTACTTCATTATCATACTATTCAGCCAAGGTTGTTTGCGTATTATTGCATGGCAAGGATTTCAATGGCACCTATTCAATTAAATAGTAAAATTTGATCATTTTTCTTTTCCAGGGAAATAAATTCAAGGAGGCAGCGGGATTTTACGAGCCAAATGTAAAGAAGAATTTTGATAATGTACGCTCTATTCATTAATAATATTCCATTTATTTCAACAGTTATCAGTGATTCATTGAATGATAATTCATTAATTAACTTAACGTCAATGATTCATTCATTTCTTATTTCAGATGCTTAATATAACAGCAATAATTCTGGCAAATCTCAGTGTTTGCTACATTATGACTAATCAAAATGAAGAGGTTAATGTTTCGATAAAAAGTTAAATTTCATTAATTGTAATTGAGTAAAGGATGAAATAAATTTTTAATAGATTTTATTTTCTTGAAGGCTGAAGAATTGATGAAGAAAGTTGAGAATGAAGAGGAAGCAACTGCAGCAACTTCAAATAAGACCAAATCTTTTCATTTATGTATTATAAATCTCGTTATTGGTACACTTTATTGTTCAAAAGTATGCTTAAGTTTCAATTTAAGAAATTTAAACTTTTGAAAAATGCATTATCATATGAAATTTAATTTAGGGTAATTATGAATTCGGCATTTCACGAGTGATCAAAGCTATGGAACCATATGATAAGAAACTTGGTACAGATACGTGGTTTTACTGTAAACGTTGTATGATTTCACTCATCGAAAATTTGGCAAAACATATAATCAACATAAGAGATTCTGTGCTACAAGAATGTCTTCAGTTTTTAGAACAATGTGAAAGTTAGTTTATAACAAAATTTCGTTTGGGAAAAGAATTGAAATTTCAAATTCGATGCAACATTGATTAGCGTCGTTTAGCTTTGCTGAAAGGACCGTTTCAAGTCGTTTAATTTTAAAGCTAATCATTTACAATATCTGTTAGAATGAATACATCCTCCATTCCTTTACCTTCAATGAATCTATAAATTTAATCAAGCCCAATTTACACTTTTTGCTAGGTGTAGATTAGGTTCGATTAAATTTACAGTTGATTAAAAAAAAATCATAGATTAAATCTAGTAGCCAAAGTTATTTTACCTTAATTGAAACTTTAAATTTGATTAAATTCAATTAACTACTTTTTGCTAAGACTAAACCGACAATATTTAATCGAATAACTTGCTGAATATTTTATTTCAGTCCACGGAAAGGATGTACCAACAACAGTAGCTGGTCCATTGATGATGGATGAATTGGAAGCTAAGAATGCAAAAAATACGGTAACTTATGAGGCTCGACTATTAAGAGCATTGCTATTAGAGGTAATGAATAACTGAAACAGATCAAAAATCAAATGAAATTGATATAATAAATGAATGATTTCTTGTTTTTGGTTTATTGAAGTGTTAATAAATGAAAGAAATCATTTCCTGTTCAAGCATTTCCATCATTCTCTCTCTCATTTCCCTACAGTTTTTAACCTCAATCCGTACAATCATCGGTTGGATCCGGAAATGACAACAATCCCTTTCCGTTCTTTTACCCTTTCTCTTCTGCATCTCTCTCCCACTTGTTCCATTCACTATTGCGTGGAACTTGTCACTATCAGGTCAGCAAGAGCGTTAATACCCATCCGATCCGGGAAAGCTTGAGTCATTGCTTAATCCAGGAATGCTTATAGTCGCATTCATTATCGTTCGGACGCGTTATTCCTCTTTCACTTTTCGTCTATTCACACTTCTGTCAAGCTATGCACGTTGTTTCAGACGTAAATCAATGGTAAGGACGTGGAATAGTGACGTGTCACAGCAATGTCATATGTTGCGACGTCATGCAAAAAGTGCTTGTGTCAGAAAATTTTCCTCTTGGAACGCTGATAGTTACTCACGATTCAAATTACCGCCTTATGGCAGTAAGCCAAGCAATTCACGTGCACCTGCCATGTCTAGACGACCTCTGGAATGCGCGTGGGAGGGTCGTTGATAGGCGGGCGGGCGGGCGGGCGGGCAGGCGGGTGAGTGCATTTATGTGCGTTCGCTTTATATGCCGAAGTTGATATTTCTCCCATCTTACTACTACTTGCGGTTCCACGTATTCATACCATTGTTCATTTCACGTGTGCTTACGTAACTTTTTTCATGTCCATGCTGCAATTGGATATGTGGATCTCTATGTTAACTTTGTCATACGCATGTGTCACCTCATCTCTCCACAGATAAATGTTATTTCATTGCCGTTTACACGTCCCAAATACATTTTAAACACACGTGACTTATCACTCTGTAATAATGTGACTTCCATCTGTATGGTCTGTGGTGTCGTTGAATTAATATACTTAGTTCTATCTAATGATCCCTTTTTTCAGGCGCTAATGGATAAAGACTTTAAATCAGGCGCCGTTGTGTGGGCTAAAATGAAAGGATTCCCACCATGGCCAGCAATGGTGAGTTTGTTTGCAGAAGTATTAAATTAAGAAGATTTGGTTGGTTTCATTGAAAGATCATTGTTTTAATGATTGCTTTAAATGATGGAAATTAACCATAAATGAGTGATTGTTGCAGATAATGCAACCATCAGAGAAAATGGAAGGTATACCCGCTGGTCGTTATTCAGTACTCTTCTATGGTACGCATGAAACAGCAATAATGAAGAAAAGTGATTTATTTGATTACCATGCTTATCGTAATGAATATGAGGTACAGCGGAAGATTAAGGTAACTCCTCAAAGTTTTGCACTTTCATTTTTGTTTCAGATATCCGTAATTATTCATCCTAGGTCTTCCTTTAAAAAAAACAAGAAAAAAAATTAAGTAAATTTGAGTTGTATGGCACTAATCAGTTTTCTGTTTTTCAAGGGATTTGCCGAAGCTTTGCAAGAAGCACGCGAAGCTGCTGGTTGCATGGAATCCAGTTTGGCGACACCAAAGACTTCTGAAGTATGTTTATCTGCTGCCGTCGAAAAATCTCCAGGATTATGTGACGCTAATTCTTTATCAGGTTTCACTTTTTTCCTTTTAGAAGTTGACAGACGACTGATTTTCATTTTATCTTTTGTCATATACAATACTAATGATGTCGAAATTTAGGAGTAATTGAATCAATATTTCGCTTAAAATCTGGTAGTCCTGCGGCAAGATATCAGTTTTAATCACTAGAGAGTTTAAATAGGCTAGGATATCTTTTTAGGCACCAGAGTTAGCGGTGGAAATAGATGTCGGAGGAAATCGAGTCGATCCGATACCAGTGAGAGCCTATTGGAAAATCTTTTATCAAGTCCAACCACATCATCCCCTCTTCCAACCAGAATGCGGACGCCATCTCTTTCGCCAAGTAATCTCCTGTGGTAGATATTTATAAAGCACTGGGATTGGTTATTTCTGAACTGCTGGATTATGTTAGATAAAAACTACATTAAAAATTTATTCCATTTCAGTTAAAGACAACACTGAAATAAGAAGTGAACGGAGGCGTCTGGGAAGCTTTACGTCCATCTCAAGTCGTAATAAAACGAACTCATTTTCCCAGTCATTTGATATAGACTTGGGCGAAGTAAATTTTTACCTTCTTGTATTATATTAATTTAATGGATCACGTACTGCAGAATACTAAGTCATAAGATGGATCAAATTTCACATCCATCATTACTTGTTCGTTAACATTTGCTTTCTAGGATCCGATGTTGCCGATTTTAAGTGAAGGTACTTGTAATTTTCTTCTCGATGGGATTGGTGCAGACATTGATGAAATTTCAAGATCATCAATGAAAAGTGGCATTAAGTGTCCCAAGTCCGTTATTGGTGATTATTTATCATCTGGGAAACTACGTGAACGCTTCAACAGCGTATCTTCAGGACGCACAAGGTTCACTGGAATTCGTAATGCTATCATATCCCATGATAATATTTTCTGAATTAAGCATTTACTTTCGTTCACTTTTTCCTGCTCCTTATAAAAAAAAATAGAACATTTTACAGAATTATATATTTCATTGTCATATTTTTCTTTCTTTTTTCTGTTAATAATTTCATATGCTATGAAATCTTTTCAGTTGAATTTTTTTCAGATTATGTTCGGGTATGTCAGATGGTTTCGATGATTTGTTCGGATCATCACCGCTCTTCAGCCCTACAGACCCACTATCATCGTTGTCATTTAACGATATTTTGGGCGCATCTGATGATCACCCTTTAGCAGGTTTTGATGAACAGAATTTTGAATTCCACCAACAGAATCCTGTCCAGAAGAACTGCTCAAGCTGTGGTTACCATTGCATTCTATATGGTCTTAAGTGGAGGTTTGTCTTTGCTGCAGTTAAAAAAAGACCTATAGAGTTTTACTTAAAAGTTTCGAACTTTTTATAACTAATTCTCCAGATGTGGAAATACGAATTGCTTGAAATGGAACGAAATTTATGAACCGTCAATTTCTGAAATGAGTAACCAATTACCTAGTTTTGTAGTAAGTGTCTTTTTTATTCTTTCATGTTTTCCAAAAATTCATATAAATCTTAATGCATGCATTCTTTTCTCAAAATCCTTCTCTGATATCCCTTGCATATGTTCTTGGTGCACGCATTGCTTTGGGTCAATTTAGTTATATTTAGTTTTTTTCTTTTCAGAAAGAGAATCCTGACGATGTTAAAACTGATCTTATAACATTGAATGTTTCCCCAAGTGCTAAGCTACATGATAGCACTTTAGACAGTATTCATGACCCGATCATTTCAAATATTATACCTGATTGCTTACCACCAGATTCATTCTCTAATATTTTTGCGCAAACATCACTGCCATCTGTAACAAAAGTTGAAAACGAATCCAATCAAGTTCAAGGATATTCCCAGTGTACTGCGCAGAAAGGTGTTTTTTCAACTTCAGTACAGTCTTCACTTTCTTCTCAGAGTCAGAATGGGCCAATTCCAAACAGTCAGAATGTTGCTTCCAGGAGAACTGGGAGTGGGCGTCCCAAATTTTAGTAAGTTATTTTTCAGATTGTTTCATGCATGACTAAAAATTTTTTCTCGTGAAATTTGCTATTAAAATTGTTCGGATTTTTATTAAATTTTTTGATTCTTCTTTTGCAAATTCAATGATCTATTGAGATGATGGTGAACAAAAATTTTTCGAGACTTATTACAATTCTAGAACGATTTTTAGTTCTTTCTTCATTATCTTATCAAATTAAAAAAAGTTTTGGGAAAACTGTTCCGGTCCAGTAGTCGATTTTTTTTACATTTTCGGTTCACTTTTTTTTACAGCAAAGTGGAAAAAACGCCTTTAGTTGCGGAAGATGGTTGCAGACACTGTTTTCACTGCAACGGACAAGTAAGGCCACAGATGTGTGGCGGCAACAGACACAGGTAATTTTTTGTGACGGCCATTGATGGTTTTTGTTTATGGCAACGTCGACATTTTCGTAGTAGCAAATTTGAAATGCTTTAGGCTGTGTTCTTATTTCAAAAGATAAGTAGAATTGCTGACAGGCAAAAGATATAGTTAATTTAAGATAAATCAGTTATTGTATCACTTCCATCTCTGAAATTCTTTGATTTTAGATGTTATTTTCAAATCTTTTGTTTTTTTTCCTTTTTTTTAGATGGCGTTGCGTTGATAAGAAGTGTCGTAAATGGTATGGTTGGGTCAGGAGTCATGAAGAGATACCTAAGGTATTAGATTTAGGAATTTCAAATTTGGTTCATTTCGTACAGATAATATAAATTATTTGTTCTTTATTTTTAGGATTTGGGCAAGAAAGGAAGATGGAAAGACCTTATCAAAATCCGAAGGAAATCACCATCAGTTAGTGAAACTGAAGGCGAACAGGTTATTTTAAGGCATTTAAATCCATTTTCCGAATTTCAACCCGATTAAGCCCACAAAATTTCATGAGTGTAGTACTGTGTGTATTATAGTACGAAATCAGTGGACTTTTCTTTTTTAGCATAAAATTCCATTTCAGATGAAATATACTCATGTGCTTCATTATTTTCAGAGTGAGTCAATTAGAAAGACTGCGAGGAAAAATACGAGGCAATCAGGTATTTATATTATGTGAACTTAATTCTTTTATTTCAGTAATGAGGTGTTTTTGCTTCGTGAAAGGAAACAAGTATTGATGGGAAACGCAAGTGCAGTTAAAATCGTGCAGAAACTTATTGCCGATTTCTTAGTTTATCAGGATTTTTTTTCTAGTTTGGGGATTCTGAAATTATTTAGGTAATCGTACTCGGTCCTCGGGGGTTGTGCAGTTGAGGAGTTGTATGGAACGGCGAGTACGATGGTGGACAAATGAAAAAAGGGAAAGTGGACTGTCTCCAGAGAGAGAATTCCCAGGTGATCCGCTAGATGCAGCCGCCGTGTGCATTACAGTATCGAAATCGATGACTTCAGCTGCTAGCACACGGTATTCCATAATTTACCAAATACCAGAAATATGATAGGATTTGTATTCTCGTATTTCATTTTTTTATCAAAGTTTTCTCACCCTTGCATTTTGGAAATTCAAGTAATGATTAACTGTTTTTGTGAAATGGATGAATGATCTGTTGAAATAGTTTTTGTTTTAATTTAACATGTAGGACCGATGAACCGGGTACAGTGGATGGATCGTTGGATTTGTTAATGGATACGCTATTCAGCTTATTGGCGCCACTCTTAGCGCTAACGAAGCAGGTGCCTAGTGTTTTGGATCGAGAAACAGAAAAGAAACTTTGGGAAGCATGTGCTATGCATACACCAAGATTTGCATAGCTGAAATTCCTAGTTTTTTCGAAGTTGTTAAAGTTAGTCAGTTTTCTAATTTTGGTTAATAATACATAGGCTTGATGTTGGAATGTTGCACCCGCCTACATTTTTTAAATGCAGAAGCTCATCGTAGCTGTGGAATCAGTGTATTATAGTAGCTTAAGAAATCATAGAAATCTAAAAGATTGTAGTACTCCAAATACCTAGCATTCTACTTGGCTATACTGTCGCATAATGATCAGATAGAGAGTGAATAACATCATTTCGTCGTTCTTTTCAAATATCTATAATACTTGCAAAAGCTATCAAGCCATTTGTGGGACCACATCTTTAGAGCTGTTTCTTCGTGTCATATTTGGTTATTATCCAGTTCGAGGTAGTTAAACTTCCAAGAGTTAGATTTTCATAGGGTTCTTGTTGACGATGTTTATTCGTTATTGTTTTATTCAGTATTACAATTTGGGACAGGAGCTCATTGTGCTAGTCTTTTTTGTCGCATTTAAGGCTATGACTTTTCTTAAAATTCCGGAATGATGTTTTGAAGGAAATGGTTTTTTTTGTACAAGTATCACAAGATTATTGAGCTTCAAGACTTTTTATAACAGGACTTGAACTATCCATGTCTTAAGTGGAATGGGGACTTTGATTTTACCGTCAAATTTCCAATCATGTGTTTGCAAAGAAAAGCATTATAAAAATGCCAAAATTCGTTGGAAATTTTTGCCCATACTTTTCGCTTTAGTTTTATGTCCCTAATGTATGCAGCTGAAAGTCACATGCGCGTTGTTTGTTTTTGTTCTTTTTTTTCAGTTCTCAGTTGTATTTCCATAAAATTTATAATTTTGCAGCTCGTGGTAAATCTCGGTAACGGTGCTTTCTGTCCGTCGTTGTATTTACCATTATTTTCAGATTTCATTCTACCACTGTTGTTGGATTTATTGATGAAGTAAAGAGTGAGAAAATTTTTCAAAAAAGTCCGTATATACACAAATAAGCTGAATTAATGATAATAGTATACGTGTGGTAGGGAAATCCATAAATTTATGTAAATCTCATGCAAACTAGATTAACGCATGCTTTAGGAGAGAACTATTCACTGAAGTATTTAATACTGAAATATTTACGAAGATGCGAAAGTTAGGGAGAGACATCACAGTATGGTTGTGTGGTATACGGTAGCAAATGATATCTTCACATGTCACATGAAACTGCTGAAGTTCTTTCCGTATCTTCCTAAGGAAACCACGAATGACATGTAAAGCTTGCAATTTCCATGGAGAAAGATTGCTTTAAGAAAGCGAAAATCTAGCAAGGAAGAGAAGGAAATCACGAAAGGATTTATAAGAAATTGATCACCAATGGGACATGACATCATGCCTGGTGTCATCGCTCAACTTACAACTGCTTCAACATTCAGTCTCTTGAGAACCACTGTAATCAATCAGTTCTAGTTATTTTTGTCATCCATTAGACGGGATAATTAAATGCAAAGAATCGACAAGTGCAATTAAAATGATTTAACTGGAACTAAATTTGAAACAACACAGCATGAGGGTCGGGCTTTGAAGCATCAGTTGTGTTGCCTAGAATTGCTGCTATAAATAATTTTGTCGCTTCAAAAAGTGTTACTGAATAACCTATTCCTAATTTACAGCTACATCTACGCCAAAGATCGATAAATGATTAAGTGAGGGAAAGTCATTTATGCGAAAAATGTGTATAGATCAGTATTGTATCAGTCAGTCCAACGATTTCAATATTATGTCATTTTTCTAAATTTTTTTTTACAAATAGTTATACAGACAAAATAAGTCATTCACCTTATTTGGTAAAGAAATATGCAATGAGAATGAGGATGAGAATGAGAGTAAAGAAAAATAAGAGTAGGAAAATTCTCTTTTGTCTTGCCCTTTGTTGATATATAACAGCTCGTTGTACTGCTGTTGCACCCTGAAAACACATAGAGACTAGTTCTTTTTTTTTTTTTTTTCATATAAAACACACGCAGCAAAAAGCATATCCTTATATCCTTCCAAACCTAACAAAAATTCTACAGTTCCATCAAAAATAATATTTCGGATCATCCTGATTACGGAACTCCCCCACATTGAAATATTAAAATACTTCAAATTTTACACAACGAAAATACTGCACCTGTTGCACTTGCATGGATGCGTGTTCCACATTTGCTTCAATACTATCCATAATTTCACCTTGATCATGTACAATTCTCGCTAGATCTTTCATTACCTGTGTCACGTCACTGATGTCCTGATCAAGTTGTCTCATTGCCTGGATATATAAATTATAAGCAAATTAGTAAATTTAGCACTGTTCTCTAATCGCTTTATGCGCTTTATGCACTCTTTCTTATTTTAAAATATTTAAATGGGAACAAATTATTTGCACATTCTTTACGAATACCATGCAAAACCTCTGGAACAAAAAAGTATTTGTGTAATAAGCTAAAAAGAATTTTTAAATAGGAGACTTTTCAAATTTAAAAAGGTCAATCTGAAATCAGTAAAAAAAGCTTTGTCAAGCGGCTACTTTCCTCACGTAATTTTTTACTGAATTTTGAACAGTTAAAAACCAGCTCTAGCGTTTCTGATAATTTTATAGGTCATAAAGTTTGCTTATATCGTGCAATAAAGTAATAAAATCAAATTAATTAAACCGTACAGCAACAGACGCAGCACACCTCCCATTTCATCTGCAAATTTATAAACGAGACAAAGCCGATCATCCCAAAGCAAGTTCATAATGCTTCCTTTGAAATTATGAGATCGTATTTGTAAGAAACAAAAAAGACTACTATATTAGGGGAATCAAACCTTCTTAAAGTTAATCAAAGAAAGCTAAATTATAACATAAATTAAAATACTAAGAAAAAAGCTGTGAAAGTGACCTCACTCCTTTCTCTAATTTCCATGAGATGCTGCTGATGCTGAATCTGGAGTTGCTGCCGTTCCTGTTGCTCGTCATCATTTACTTGTTCTATCTATAATTAAAGTAAGCGTCGATCAACAACAAATAAAATTCTTTCAAAAGTAACAAAAGCAAAGACCTCTGTTGTTCTCGATGGATTCCGAGAAATCGAAATTTATGTGTATAGGAGAAAATGATTATACCAGGAGAATCAAATTTTTCGAATGGATTCCACTTTTACAAACTTTATGTTTTGTTAAAGCTATTGTAAATATCCTTGTCTCCTTGGAACGAGATAAATAAATCTTTCTCTTTCCTTCACTTGTATCATTTCATCATCCTTTAAAATGTAGCATTTCAATGCTAAAATCTAGCAGTTAAGTGTGTTTCCGTAGTTGTTGATGACTAACTTGCTGATTCTGAGCAATGTTAAGAAGCAGCAATTAAATACATTTTCACACTTACCTGATGGCTAACTTGCTGATCCTGAGCAGCTACTGCTTTCATTGATTCCTTTTCTTTCGCAACTGCATTCCTTTGGGCTACTTGCAAACGATTTAAAACACCAATTAAATCACCCATAAGTCTTTCACGATGCACTTTCATCGTCGATGCATACCTCTAAAAAGTGAGAATATTGGATAAATAAACATTAAGAAAAAACTTGGATGGATAACAAATTTACTTTATTGGTGAAGCAAGAATTCTATAATTATAAAATTAGTGACAGATAAACCTGATCGTTTGATAATTCCACCAAACGTTTCATCAATGTGTTCGTTTCTTTGCTCAATGTATTGGCTGATGATGTTACTTCCGCTACCTGATCGCGCAAATTTTCGCCATCATCACTGCTACCTATTTTTCCACCTAACACTTCCAATTGTTGCACTGAAATTTGACTGAAGAATAATCTGAATGATATGAAATTCAATTTCAAAATATTTCTGCCTAAAATTATACTGATATTAAATTCAGATCCCTTTTATAAATTAATTTACCATTCGCCCGATTTCTTAAGTTTATAAAAATTAAGTGGAAAAAGACACATTAACTTACAGAAGATATCTTTGTTACTAGCTTCATGAGATAATCATGCTAGGCCTACAATCTTTATCAAGATGTTATTGGAAAACACACATTTAAGTTGAATTTTGTAACGTTAAAGCAGTAAGGATGTCCTAAAGTTCAACAACAATCATCTTAACAGCAGCAGCTAAAGAATGAATTCTCTTGAGATCTCATCATTTCATATGCGTGAGGGAAACATTACTTTCTACCGACGATGAAAAACACAGAATGAATAATGCATATATAAAAGCAATGCCGAATTAAACAAATGTATAATGGCATATCGTCATGTGATAAATGCAGAAAGTGAATTAGTTTGCGTATGGTATGTTATATTTAGGAATAATATTTCTGAAATGATAACAGTAGAAAGATATTCAAGAAGAACAAAAAACAGACCATATTGGCTCAGTCGTTGGATATTACTTGCAATTGTTGATACCAATGTACTCCCTTCAACAGTGCCTGAATTCATCGTCTCTTTCCTGAAAATGAAAGGAAAATACGAAGTTAGATGAAACTATAATATAAAGACACACACTAACAAATAACTATAAAACAATGCATAACTTCGGAAATACATGGAATGAAAATAATTTACAAACAATTGAACAGCACCTGTCTGTCAAACTGAATTTAATGATAATTCAAATAGATAATTTCAAAAGAATAAGAGAATGTACGAAAAAAATGTTATAAAATTTGATGAAAATAGTTTAGAGGAAAAATGCATATGTTTTCCAGATATAATTCATGAAGGATCACTTTATCAGTTTATCCCGCAGTGCTGATTACTGTTTCATAAATATCGGTTTAGCTCTAGTTACTTCACATCACATCATTCTACAGTACACTTCTCACATTATATGCCAGAGACCATTCTCCCAAAAATATATCAAGTAATAATTGAGGAATAATAATTAGCGTACCTAATGTAGAAGCTCTCACTACAGTAGATACAACATTATTATTACTAAAAGTAAAGTAATAACTTTAAAACGACCACCTTTATTGTTGACCTCCTCTACAGTCACTTATTTAGAAATGCTTTCTGCAATATTTTAGTGTTTCAATTAGCAACAAATTCATTAGCCGACTTGCTCAACAGTTCGAAAATACGAAATCGGAAATAATTCACATTATCGGAAAATAATTCACATAGTATCCATATAGCTTTAGGGAAAGAAGAAGAGGACTTTGTTGTCAGCAATTATTAAATTGTTATTATTTTGGAATTTAATCCAATAACTTGGGAATTTATAGGGAAACAATGCCAACATATTAACGTCATAAAGAAAAAAAGAAGGAAAAGTTGGTAAATGAACGGTCTTATTTTGTTAGACGTGTTTTGTACTTTACTAGCAGACACGGATCAATTTACCCTCCTCCCACTCCCGCTTTTCCCAGGCTTTAAAATGACAACTAAAATATGAAAATCCATAGCATTGAGACGCTGATAAGGCACCCTCCGCTGGGTATATAATGAAGAATCGAACAAAAGGCCAAGTCTTGGAGGAAATAGTCACACTGCAAACAAGGAATGTTTGTTTCTCTTATAGAATATGTAATGAGAAACAGAAAAATAAAAAAAGCTCATCTTATTCACATAAAGGAAAACAGATCTCTCACGAACTCTTCCTGTCGCTTCTTCTCAATGACATTTCTGCATACGTTTATCGAATCCCCGTGTTTTGTGACTTCTCCGACAAAGTCTATATGTTCAGTATATTACAATGGGACTCCAGCAAGACACCGTGAATACTGCTATAACTGGTTAATTACTGCTGTGTATCATTCGAATGTGAAACAATCAACTGTCCCTAATTAGGAGACAGATCAGATACCACACCTCAGTTTTAATTCCTATCATCAACAAAAACAAGTAATTGATAAGATCTTTACCAAATCCAGCATTTTTCCACCCACCATACTGGCTTATAAATTGTTGGAACATCTTGCTATTTACTTTCTTTGCACTTACCATGCCGCTACCTTCAATACTATCATCACTTGCACATCATCACAAAGTCTACAAATCACTCAGGTATGCAAATTTTTCATGGTTAACTATATGAAATTTGCATAAAATTTTAGGTAATCTCTTGAGAAAGCAGTATTATCTAAAGTATTATTATCAGCAACTTCTAGGAAAATGTTTACAATATCAGATACACCATATATTTCAGTGACTCCGATATGATCTGATTTGACAGAGAATTTGATTTGGTTCATCTTGGATCGAAAAAGTACAGCACAGAATAATAAATCACTGTACACAATGTGACAACAGAAAACTGCAATCAGCCATGTCACTGAAATTTCACTCCGCCAAACAAATCTATAATTTGATATTGAGAGCTGAACACACTCCTCTCTATTACTCCCGTCCTCCTTCCACTATCATCAATACCAGTGTTGTAGGCAATGACAAGAAGGTTATACTATTCGGGAAATCATTTCATTGTAGTAAATTCAACTTTCTGATTCATTCCATTAGACTTAATCGTTTCAGGCTCAATCTTGCCTAATTCTACAGCAATATCTGTAAATCCAAACCTGATCAAAAGATTAGATTTCTGGTTCGTTACTATATATTACAGTGATAACTGATAAGGATATCTGACTATTCCACAAACTTATCCAAATAAACTACGTCAGAAAATAATAATGCCAGCAGTATGAAATCCCACAGATATACAAAGGGAAATTACATCGATTCTTGCAGAATCTACAAAATTGCCTCTCAAATATATATATATATAATAAACACTTTTTTGATGAAAAGTTCACTGATTCATTCCATAAGTGCAAAAAGTACAAATTCCATTTCCACCCCACGGCCAGGAATGGGCTTCCAGGACTAATAATATTCCTGTCACGTAAGACGGTGAACTCACCCACTCAAATTTCCTCCTAGCTAGACCAAACTTTTAATACCAGCGCTGACCAACCATCCCTGTTAAACTTTACCAACCTTACCAACCAAACAATACAATCTAGGAATCTAGTATGGCAAACTTTGTATCTAGTGTTATCTTGCCACCTGTAATAATGACAAATATAAAGTGAAATGAAGGAAAACAGAGTTTTCCTGGGGCTGAGACCGTTACATATAATCCTGCCGCGATATTAATACCTCCGGACTTTCTCATTCTGTTTCTAGAATGGTCAAATAATTTAAATTGAAAAAAAAAAATGTCTCAATAATGTGATCCTTAATTCGAATCTACCGACAAATCTCGAATAGCATCCACTGATATGGAAGATAAAAAATTATTGCAAAGCTGAATGAATCATAAGATAGAAAGGGAAATTTCAAAACAACCATATAATTAAACCAATAACTCTACTCATCGCTAGTATTGCTACTATCCACTTCCAATTATAAGAACCCGTCACCAACATAAAGGAACCTTCACATTCTCCAGCTTTTTCATCATTAATAATTCTTTTTTTTTAATGATAATTTTTTTGATGGATACGGACGAACTGTCCACAAAAAGACTTCTGCTGAATTGGAATACTGACCGATAGACCAGGGAGAAAAAAAAAAATTCAATCCTCAAGCCTTTAGACCAACAGCACACAATGAACTAAAATATAACACGCTATCCAACACTTCAAATCAAGAGAAATAAATTGTGGGACCGAATAAACCAGTGTTATTCATAAAACTTGTCGAATAAACCATTTTACTTCTGTACAAATAACAGTAAAACCCGTAGATATTAAATGTTTCATGCTGGAGGAATAAACGGATGATCACAAAGACTGAAAAGAAATGCTTTTTTAAAACAAGACAAAATATCATGTTCATATTCACAAAGCAAAAGATTATTAGCAACTAGACGGGTTTATCAGAGTCCTCCTATCCATTTTTTCTTTTCCATTCTAATTACATTTGAGGGAAATAAATGAACATCAACTTAATCAAAACAACTTCTTTCCTTTATTTAAGAAAAACAAGTCAAATCCGTCCAGTAATAAAGTACAATCTGCAAAAAGTTTTAATTTCCATGAATTAAAATGAATTTAACGATGCGTAGGCCAAATTAATAATGAAAACCCTGACAAAGAGAAAAAACAATGGTAAAAAGAGCAAAACAATACAAGGAAACTAAATTTAATCATGATATCGTGAGAAGCGTGCTGAAAAATACAAAGGGTGAAATAGTATACAAAAATGCTAGCAATAAAAAGGCATATCTTCAATGAAGAAGAACTGAAATAACAACAAATTCAAGTAAACATTAATGGGGTAACATGTTAGAATTCAAGTAATTATTGTTCTATTTATCTTGGAAAAATTATTTATTGCAAACAAAAGTACAAATTTATTCACAAATGATTAAAATTATGAGAAAACGATCGTTAAAAAGTAATAACAATGATCAAATATCCTGAGGTAGTAAAAAGGAAAAGAAGTAACACAAGAGCTGACAAATGGAAAACCTGAAGTTATGGGCAAGATAAAATAGTTACATTGCAAAAAACTGCCGTTCAACGTCAGCCGCCATGTCGTCATCATCTGATTCTGACTCAGCAGAGCATGATGATTTTTCGGATTCACTCTCTTCCTCTTTTTCTAGAGCCTGTTTTTTGGTGGATGAAGCACTACTTCCCTCATCGTCTCTTTCAGACCGCCGTTTCACAGATCCATCTTCTTTTGACGATAAACTCTTCAGTGATTTTGCTTCTAGATTTTCTTCATCATTGTCGGATACATCTTCCGATAATGCTTCATCAACCTGAAACGTTAGATAAAATGATCTGCAAAATACAATTGATATTTATTAGAATTAAGCAATACTGAAAAACAGAGGCAAGTTTTAAATTGTTAATATCTGTGCCATTAAAAAAACAACAAAAGGCCTACTTCGTCAGTCATAAGTGACAAGGCTTCTTTACCAAATGTGGGTAACCTTGAGATTTCATCAACTACGATAATGCCACCCTGAAGCTTTTCCGCGCTCCGTGTTTCATCTTTCAACAATTCAAATTCTTTTTCATCCGCCTAAAAATAATGGTTTAAATAAGTGAAATTCAATCTTCTCTTCAAATCCATACAAAATAATAGTAACTGGTAAAAAAGAAACAATTATCATTTCACCATAACGACACTATGGGATGAGTTACTGCACCAGCAATCGTTTTACTGAATGATTATTAAAATGATGATAGAATTTAAGTGTAAATTTGCATATTTAATAAATTGATACCTTTTCCCATCTTTCGACACAGGTAAACAACCACTTAGGATTCACTATATGTATATTTGGTAATTTGTGCGCCTCATGAACTTTTCTAAAAAATGCATAAGTATGCCTATCAAAAGAATTTTCATATAAATGACAGCATTGTGAGAAATCCAAGGAGATAAGGGTTAAAATTCAAAAATTTGTAAGAAATTCACAAAAGTCTATAAGATATTGTTGATCAGCTCTTTTTTGACTAGATCAAATCTGAATAGCTTATGAGATAGTAAAGTGGTAACAGCAGAAATATTATGCCAAGCATTGTTATTTTGACTAAAACAACCTACATATCAACCGAGGACAGAACTGGCTTAATTTAATGGCCGACAATGGTAAAATGGCACAATTTAATAGTCGACAATGGTAAAATTATTCTGGAAAATCCAAAACTAAATCAGTTATGCGGTCCGTTGTCAATAGAGATGCAAACATGCAATTGGGCAAGACATAATGATGACTGCCCATAACAGAAAGCTACAAAGTACTACCAATCGCTCAAAAAAATTTTTTCAATTCCAATTTGAAAGCCAACTATTGAAGCATTACATGCTTACATTCGCTTAAGAAAAAAACAAAAACAAACAAAAGTCGAATTAAAAGCTGTACTAACGTTGTGCCCCATCGTGCGGCAATCACGTGAGTTGTAGAATCACTCACGTTGTCCATAACAACTGCACCAAACTGCATACACAATCGGTATGCTTCTGTTTTCTTAATATCGACACCAACAGGTACAATGCCACTAAGAACTATCGAACAGTCACGTAATACTTGTTTTCGAAGGTAAGATATTATTCCTTTCAAGTCCTCAAATTCCGAATTTCATATCACAAATGTCTGAGAAAACACCCAACAGGAAGTATTTGTAAGGTATATTACAAAAACTGCAAACAACACAGAATTTTCTTAACTGACTTAACAAGTTTCACCATTTTTCAGTGGTATTGAAATGAGCTTGCATGTTACAAATACATATATGGAGCAATACTGTTCCAAAATTAAAAAAATTTGTTGGACCTACCGGGAAACGATTTATTTTTGCACCATCAAACAGCTCATAAAAAGCATTATGTATTTTGGTAAGGACAACTGCAACATATTCTAGTGTTTCATCATCCTCCGATTCCATATCCTGCTCTGCGTAACTGCCAGAAAGAATCGGTTCACCTTTTTCATATCTTGGAGCATTTATGTCACCAATTTCTTTAAAGAATCGATATGGTTTTACCTATAAATTAGGTCTAAACTACACACATTTTACACTTACGAATTTATGACAAAGCTGATGCACTAATGATAACGATGCATTACGAAATTTGTTAAGTTCTCAATCACCTGAATAAGGGCATCTGAGTATTGCCAAACATCAGGTCTATCATCAATCATCACAATCATATGATCACCACAAGGAAATAATGCTTGCATATTTCGTGTTTTGTACATCGCACAAAACAATTCATCGCGTGACAATATCCCTTCAATATTATTTTAAATCATGACTTCTCAGCAAATTTTTGTTCTACTTTTTTAGCATGGAAAATTTCTAAATTAAGAACATGCTTAGCTACTTTCTGACTTTATTACAAAAGGCAAGCCTAAGAAATGACCGTAAATTCAAAAATACTAATTAAATTTTCAGATGAAAAGATGGCAGTGTTTGTTTAACGAAAAATGGTACAGTACTACGCACAAAGTCTAATTTCACACTAAAATAAGTTGTGTCATATGTTCTCGGCATTAAAAAACCTTCCATTTCTTTCATTCATCATAACTGACAGAGTGCATTAGAGAAAGAACACTGGGAACTGATAGATCTTTCGAGAACTGTCAAGCAAATTAAATAAGCCAGACACTCTACATACCATATTGTTATTTGTAATAATAGAAGTACAAATAACTAACTGTGGCCAAAATATATCTTATCAGGATCTAAAAACTCAGCGATACGATGCGCGTACTGTCTTTCTCCGTAACTGATTATATGCATTTCATACAGTTCAGCCATACGGCGCAAAAATTCGCGTGCATATGGACGAATTTTGGTGTAGAAATCAGTCCCTTTTAATTTATAATGCAAAACGTCCTGAAGAAAGAAAAATTGTGAAAAGTATTCATGCACAGTAACAATGCAGCATGTATATTAGTCAATACAAAATGAATATTAGGTTGAGTACCAATGCCTAATTTCTCCATGTGGGAACTAATTCCTTTTTTGGTAATTAGCCTGAAATTAAATTTTCTATTTTGTGATTGATTTGAAATACAATTCGCTATGTGATGAAAAAAGAGACTGGAATTGAAAATCGAAACAAATCTTCAAGTCTTCAAACATGTCTTCATGTTTTCAAAGGTTTACCGTATCTTTGTCCACTTTAAAAGTATGATTGGTTGTATGTATGAGTGTTTGGTCCAAATCAACCAACAACACTAATTTGTGTGCTTTTAAAAGCAATTCGCGATCTCGACTGCCTATTTTCCGAGCCAGCTAGAATTACGCTCAAGTACAAAATCGTATGAAATAAGCAACAAATTTCAGTGTAGAAGGATTACTTTTCGATAGTTTAGTGTAAGTGGAAAATTTAGAATGAACCTCATCAGAGACGATCAGTTCAGGAACATGGTGTATCATTGATACGTTCGCAGTACTGGCTTCCGTCAAATTTCCAGAAGTTCCTGGCTTACTATAAACATGCTTTTTAAAACACTTTTTTCTCGAACATCAAAAAATAGTACACGTAAAAATAATACACGATTTATTACATAAAATCAGCAACACTATGTTAAGACATTCCTTCAAAAAAGCATAAGGAATTACTGATTGATGAAAATATATACAAACCTTCTTAAATCCTTACCGCACGATGCGCACATATCTTTGATAACAATTTCATGACTACAACCTCGTAGACTAGCAACAATCATACCTTTTTTAATATCTGCAAAAACAGAAATTAATTCCCAAAATTGAACATTATTTTTGCAAAGCATTTCACTCCGATTAACACTTTTTTTGGATTGCATTTTTAAAGAGTGCAAATTAAACAGTAATTAAAGATGATCCATCAGGTTTTAAATGCAAAGTTATCCACTTATCAGAAGTGGACTTATCATTTCTCCTAAATGTCTTATTGATCTCATCATTACAGATAATAAAGGAAGGAATATTCTAACAATTTACGATATTCACAGATAGAGTACAATTAAACTGTGGACTAAATTCTTTTTATCATTTCTTATCAAATGATACGTTCAATGATAATTTCGATACTTTCTCGACTAGAATTTAAAATCAGAAAAAAAGATCAACTGCTATTTAACTGTTTATCTGTAAGTACAAATAAAGGAGTTAAAAATCATGTATTTAAGTGACATTTAATTTTTAACGAGTGAAACATACTCAATATATATAAATGAAAAGTTCTAAATAAAAATGAACATCAAAAATACTTACTTTCCCTTTTTTAACTGTAGCATCAATAGTAACAACACCCGACACAGAAGTTTTCAATGATTTTTTTTCACCACTTTTGCTGTCGTAAATGAGAAGGACAGTATCAGCAGATACGTAAGCGCCATCAGTAACTTTCCAATTAACCAATTCACCCACCTCATCATCATCAAACAATATATCAGTTTTACTTCCCATATTTCTTACAGCTAAAAAAAATGTTACAGCACCTCTTAGCTTCATTCAATTTGTAAAATACGTCACTTTCCTTCAACATATAATACACGTAAATTCATGGGCTTTGTATAAACGTAATAACTCACGTACTCACTTATGTATATAAGAACTTACACAGTTGTGCAAAGAAATTTAATAGTTCATACATTTACATATAAATGATAGGAAGAACGCATATTAAAAAAAAGTGATAAGTGAGACAGAACAGTTTACAGATATGATAATTATAATTATAGTAAAGTCTATTACGTTCTAGACCGCGATATTTCAGGACATTCCTAAGCAAGTGTCATAATTAGAAGCTGACAAAAACAAATTATAGGGGACAGATTTTGTAAATGAGAAGTTGTAGATAATTTTAAATAGTAATGTATTTCCAAGATACTGAAGGAATGATAGATGAGATAACTGAATTGTACATCCAAAAGTATTGGCTTTTCGGGAACTTCTCACAATATCATCAATTATTATTTCAACGTCAAACAAGAAAAGATCTATGAAAAGTCCGTCAACCAAAGTGGAACCATTGTCCATCGACCAGTACAGTCGCTAACCTGAAAGGAAGAGATATCAAAAATGTAATTTGGCAGAGGGAATCGGGAATATTAACTGCGGAAGATCGGATAATATGGAAGTAGAAAGGAAGTGCATGGAACAGTGCATTCCGAACAGCAATGTGGAAATGGTGGAATAATCGAGATTACTTCCAACATTTTAACCTATTCTTAACTCAATCCTTCTATCACATCTATACCGGGCAAATTATTCCTTTATATAATACATACCTGTTTATATTTTAAACCTTACGTGTTCATCTATTTTTATGTTATATGCTATTCATACACTTGGAATATTACCTTCAGTTGAAAGAGATCGGGAATGTTAAAATATGTTCAGATATGGGGAATTGGTTACATATGTTAAATGGTCTTTTGCATAACCCCGAGGTTACGTGATGTCAGTTACATGTCCTATCTCAATTACACATCCCACAAAAGTTTAATGAACACAAAATAGGGCGTGAGAAAAAAAGAAGACTTTAGTGTGGTATATTAAAATCTTTCGCAAATCGAACATGATCCTACTAACATTTGAGTTTTCACCAGATATTGGTCAATTTGCTAGATATATTTGCTGTGTCTTCTAGAAATCCCGGGGTTTGTCGGGGTTGTGTGTGTATGTGTACTGTCCTATTCAATAATTTCCTATTTTGAATGACATATTGTTTATTTCTCTGCAACCCTGTCTTCTCATCTCATCTATTACTCAAAATTCTCCCTCTACATTATGACTCTTATCTGTCTCTCCATCTTCCTGTTCATCCTTCTCTCTCTCTCTCTCTCCATATCTTTACTTTTTTATTCTTATTCGTCTCCATCGAATTGTGGGATACAATAAAAGCGAAATGTTTACCCCTAAATTTATGAAATTTGAACTGTTTGGTCAATTTAAAATGCAAACTAAAAAGAGAAAAAAGTGCATTGCGAACTTATTTTATAGCAATTCAAAGCTAAATTAAATTTATTCTGTCGGGAAGTAAACTTCATTTAAATTTCGATTAAAAATTGGTAACAAAGAAAAAAAAAGAAACTATGAGAAGCAATGCTTCTTATGAATGTTTTCTCTTTCTTTTAGATCGTTCCTTCCAAAATTCCAAATTAATTTGGCGGAAGTAACATGGAATTGTATATATGGCCATCCGATTTTGGATTACCTTCGATAGACTCTCGTTGTCTTCAGTTTATGGTAAGGAACTGTATGTTCTCTTATAAGTAGATTATGTAGTCTAGAATTTAAAAATTTGAATTCAAATTTAAAACGAAAATTGGAACTCCGAGATTTTTTGCAGTCTCTTTTGCTTTTGGGACAAAAAGGAAAGACAGGAAAATTGATCAATTTGATAATTTTAACAGGCATGTGCCAAATTTTGTGCAGCACCGGTATCCGTGATTCCTGGCTGGTCACCATGGAAAAGTCAAAATGGTAGGTTAAATTTTGCTAAATAAATTTTCTACTGATTCCAAAGAGGTCTAATTTAATTTAAAGTTAACTTGGAACCAATTGAATGTTGTTTTAGGTGAGTACCCAATGTTTATTGATCGGAGTAATATGATCGAGAAAATTTATGACTTCGATAAATTTGCTGACATGTTGAGAAAAAATGGTCAGGTATGAACGTAGTAATAATGGTATTTCCAATACTAAATCATTTCTTAATTTTGAAAAGATATACATCACTGATAACAGTTAGCGATATCAAATACCTTTTATGGATTTGTGATTCTAAGTCCTGTATTTCACATTTCAACTATGTTCTTATATACGAGGATACATTTCCTAGTACTGTATGGGCAGAGATTCCAAAATGTTGAACAGCCTATAATCCATCCATATATGATAGTTATTGATAATGAACGATATATTATTGGCAAGAAATTGAGAGACCGATCGAGATTCATACATTTACACACAATTGCACAATATATACACACACACGCACACACGCAATCTTGATAGATACTTTTGGTGGGAATAAAGTCAGCATAAAAAAAGTGTATAATCGTGTATGTATATTAACATTGTAGAAATTGAAATGAATAAAAGGATTTCATTTAGTATTTAAAAAAGAACAGTTGATGAAAATCTTACTTATAAAAAATTAATTGTTGTTATTTGAGGAAGTTGTGCTGGATAGCGAATTAAGGACGAGTGAGAAATGCGAATTTGAAGCATATTCAAGTTTGATGCATCGGAATTTCTATCCTGCTGAGGTGCGAACCACTTCATAATTTGATATTTTTCGTATTAATTCACGTAATAGATTATTGTTTCTTATAATTGATCTGAATCAACTTAATTGATCGAATTCAACATTATTATTTCGAAAAGTTATGTCTTGATGTCGAACAGCAAGTTTTGATGATGTGTTAGAATATTTCTGGTTTTTTCCTCCAAAATTCAGACTCTTTATTTCAGTTGCAATTCCTTTGGCTTGATCCTTATAATTACTCGGCGATAACGCAGCAATGGTATTCAAAGCAACTACCATTTGGTTATAATTTATATTACTTGGAGAAACGTCGCAGACGTGCTCAAGCCTACCTTTCGGCTTGCGGACGTAATGAAACACAAATTATTCATGACGCCGTAAATACGATCAATTTTTTAGAAGACAGACTTGACAGTAAAAAATACTTCTATGGTGATAAGTACGTAATAATCAAACATAATCTATCATACTTAATTCCAAGTTATCTATAAATAAGCGAAATTATATACATATTCCAAACTTTACTTTAAATATATTTTATGTGTTTGATATCATTGTCCATTCACTGTTTTTTTTTTTCAGACCAAGTTCCATTGATGCTTTAATTTTCGGATATTTGGCACCAATCCTAAAACTACCACTTCCATCGGATCGATTACAGCAACATATAATGAGTTGTCCGAATGTTGTACGATTTATCGAATCTATTATAAGCATATATCTACCACTCAGTGAAACCCAAATAAGGCAGCAAGCTGCTCTAAAGGTCATCGTTTGGCGTTGTTTCCCATGAATTGCTTTAGATATGGGGTTACGCTTCTTATTAAAGAATGGTGTTTAGGACAAATGGAATAGCCGACGGCGTCGTGCACAAAAGGAAGCAGGACAGATGAATTTGCGGCGGACTACAGCGAAGGAGCAGCAATCATCAGTAAGTTTATGAGTAGTCAGGTAAATATAGAAAAAAAAAAGAAATAGGGACAAAAGTATAACGATGTTGGTGAAAGTCGTTGTAGATTCAAGGAAATGATTAGGCGTTGAACCCTTCCTGCGTTCTATTTCTAGCCTTCTAATGGCTGTAGATGCAGTTTTAAAGTCAAAAATAAATTTATGTTCGTAATGTAATCATCCTCATCCTTCGATGTTTCTAAGAGAGAAAAACGGGAAATAAATTCAATTAGGACATCATTTCGAGAAGTCTGAAAGCTCAGGGTCACGAATCAGGTCACGGAAATACTACTTGTTCTTCATCATGTTTTTCAGGGTCCAGTAGCTGAAACGATCTTCTTTGCTATAGGCGCATTGACTTTATCGGTGTTATTTGCTGTGCACTGCGGTTTAGTAACATTTGGTGTGGTGGAAGAAGAACCGCAATTCGAAATGCTTTGAAATCGTCATTGTATTCGTTATTTTTGTCTTTAAATCCGTTTTATTGGCGTAATCATTGGCATAAAGCAGTAACATTTTACATGAGCTAGCTTTTTCTCAGCTAATACATGAGCTTGCTTCACATGAGTTAGCTTTTTGGGTTACTATAGAGGATCCCTCCTATGTTTCATATTTTATAGTTTTTTTTGATTATCCTATAATTGCTACGAAATTGATGGGTACCGTCTGACTCAGGAATAGTTTTAGGATCAGATCGTTCATTGTGTAAAGATTGTTGATAGGGAAATAAAAATTTTACCCTTTTTGATGTTTATAATGATTTCGAAACGATAAAACTCAAAAGTTAAGTTGATAACATCCTTTCAATTCTGGTAGAGTAGTTTTTTTTTTTAAAGTATTACATGCAGTAAATCACTGAAGTGTTACGTATTTGCGATAGACCAAAAACCCGTATTTGCAATAGACTATGATCATACTTCTAAGTCGTCTTAAAAGGATATTCGGAGGAAAGGAGAGGGAGGGAATGGAACACGATATGGGAATACGGCATTCGGCATTACTTCAACACTATCCGAAAACGATCGTAATTGATGGCGGAGATCATAAATTCGTTAATCAACAGGCAATTTAGTAGGCGTGGCGTCGCGGCATTACGGAAAAGATTCGTCGTGTGTTATCCATCCTTTGATTTGATCCATCTATCCAGTCATCCGTCCGTCCTTCCATCCGATGCGATCGAATGAATACAAGGTTGGATTGTGGACTATTCCTCTTACCAACTGGTAGCTGTGGTTGCTGTAGTTGTTGTACCGATAAATTCGTGCTCTTCGACCTTGCTAAAGCAAAAAAATGGAGGACAAGGTTAACAAAAGTGGTATTTTGCATAATTTATTAGCTGGCTATTCCGCATTTCTATTCAGTTATCCGGGTACCATCCTATTTGTAATATCGGTCGTAACTACCATCTTACCTGCAACCGTATTATTCTTTAATCCTTTACAAATTAATCAAAATCCTGAAACTGTAAGTTTTTTTCCTCCGTTTTTTCTTATTTTTATTCTTTTTCTTTACACATTTTAACTGATTTTTTTTTCCTTTCATATCTGATTGATACATTTAAAAGTAATGCATTCTTTCTGCAAATTCTTCCTTTTCAATTCCATTCATTAATCAATCTTCTTTTTTTCTTTGTATTTTAATTTTAATTAAGTAGCCGTCTTTAGCTTTACATTCGAAATTACTTGGAAGATGCTTGTTTTAGGCTCATTTTTGAATGGAAAAATCAGTTTTTTTTCCCACGAAAAAAAAGGTTGATGAAATTTCGAATTTTATATTTACGGTTAAAGAGATACTGCTGATGATATCTGAAATAGAATAGTGATTGGAAAAGAAATTCTCACATTGGTTGAAAAAGAATTTTGGCCTGGAACAAATTATATAGAAATATTATCGGAAAGATTAAAGTTCAGTTAATTTCAAATGGTTCCTTTTAAAAATAGGAAAAATTTTAAATAACACAGTCCTCATTCATTTCATTACATTTCGGTTTTTATTTTGTTTAGTTTGACAAATTTTAATTCATTTAGCGGTCATCAACCATTAAACTTTACCAACAATTCATTGATCGAAATATGATCAAAGAATGAATTTCTCATACAATTTAACCTAAATAGGAAACAGCGTAAATGTGATAACGGTAATATCACTAAATGATATTAAAGCTAAATTTGTGTCCAAATATCTTCACCATTACTTTCTTAAAGACTATACTAAATTTGCCATTGATGTGTATGTGCAAGTTTGCATTTACCCATATACCGGGGTATATCATTTACAAAGACAGGGTAGGGGAAATGTCGACGTATATGTGGGTTTGTGTATTCGCCACTTCAATAAATTTTAAAAGATGTCATTGAAAAGTGAAATTGAATCCACTCATTCAGTAGGTGCCTGACTGCTAGGATTTTACAATATGTCGATTGAAACGATACAAAAATATAAAATAGCCTTTTATAATGGAAGTTTGCTGAATGAATGTATTTACCTGATTTTCATGTGGGATTGGGGGAAAAACAATGAATTGAATTTCACTAATAAAATCCCATCTATCAGTGAATTTGAATACTTGAATTGATTTCAAATATTGATAAAATTGTAGTTATCGGAAATAAGCAGTTGCAGTTTATAATTTTATGCTATCTAAGACTAAAATATCTTAATTTTTTCTCTTCCTGAATTTTTCCAAATATTTTCTTATAATTGAAATATAAATTATAGAAATTAAAAAGAAATAAGTTATTTGCTATGATTTATTAAATCAACCCTTGAGTATATTTATATTGCGGTATATCTAGAAGATGGGAGAATTTGCTAGTATGGACAATACGTTTTTTTTTTTATTTGACGAGTAGAATATTGAAAATCACCAATTTGTATACGACTAATTACCGTCATATTGAAACTTTCCTTAACATAACTTCTAATCTTTCTAATTATCCATCACGTATTTTTTTTCCTGATCTTGGCCTGAAATTTGAAGTTTCTCTTCAAATTCGAAACAGATTATTTAAATGAGAAAAAAAATTGTTGGCGGGTTCCGTTATCCCATGCTATTCAAATTTTAGAAAACAGATGTGAAAGAGAGAGCCATTTAGTTTTATTTTTTAGTAATTATACTTAAACACGGATGAGGTAATAAAAAAAATTCTCTGGAATAAAAAATAAGTATAAATGGAATAAGAATCACCAAAAAAATAAAAATTTGCTACCAATAAGTAAAAAAATATCGGTATTTATTAGTATTATCTCCATACATATATGCATATATATGTTAAGAAGTACATGAATAGTTAACTAAATTTTGTTTAAAAATATCATAATATCATTGAAAAATCAATTAAAAATTCATCAATATTTACTAGGGATGATCAGTTTGCAATGGATTCGGGAAATTAAAAGGCTCTCAATCTTCAGAAGTGATTTCCAATATAAATTCCAATTATACCATATTCATTATATCATCCAATCAAATAGCAATAGGATATAATCATTTGATTGATGGAAGATATCTTCTTTTCAGGGTTTCGATACACGTGATACGGAATATTCAGGACAAAGACTAACGTGGGAAAAAGTGGGATGGAATATACAAATGGGTAATCGGGTTGTCCTATCAAATGCGACAAAAGTAGGGAGAAATCGTTTAAAGCGTTCTTGGGCTGATGAATTGTTGAATACTTTTGGTCAAGTGGCATGCTATGAAACGGCTATTCCAGGAAGTATGCTTTGTTTTCTCTCCTCTTCTCAGGCTAAAAATGCATGTATATTCCTAGCATTAGTTTAGGAGAAGCATTAGTTTAAGTTTTAGCGAGGATCAGGCTCTCAGACTAATAAATCATGTTTAATGCTTGAAAAGAATTGTGGATAGAAGAGACTGTCAAAGTAGCAAATCAACCGCCAATTCCTCCTCTGTTTCCGATTTATTTTAAGCTTTCAGGAATGTCTTACTGTAATCAAATCGAGTTTTACGGAAATGAACAAAATAAAAAAACTATTTTCAATTTGTCATCAAGCAAAAAGTATATATAACGGAATGATGTTTCTTTTCGAAGAATGGAAATTTTTTCGAATTTTTAGAATTCTTTTTAAATGAAATGAGAAGGTCATCGAAATCATTGGTTTTTTTGTGATAGTTGGTGCTATGCTGAAGTGTGTTTAATGCAAAAAGGAAAAATTTCTGCAAATTTTCCACAATTTTCAAATGCAATTTTTTCAAATTGGATTAATGATTCTTCCTAAAATTAGAACAAAATTATCCCATAAATATAAAATTTCCAGTTTTTCCCAGCAGTGATTTCAATTTTTCCACCTATATTTCAATTAACAGCTAATTAAACTGGAAACGAAAGTTAGATTCACATCTCGAAACATTTCCAGTGGATCATTTGACACAATTCGTCGTGGAAGTGAACTCCTATGATGACTTATTTGACCTTGACTACCTCAAAATGCTATGTTCATTGCATACCTCTCTCAACGATCAATTACAATTATTTGCCAATATGACACCATACAGGTTTCGGTGTTTTTTTTTTTTATTTTTGTTATCCTTATGATACATTTGAATCAAATATTTCTTGCATTAAAAACCATCCCTCATTAATTCATAATTATTCGTCGGGGATGGGGAATGGTGGAAAGAAGGAAGGAGGGAAAGTCAAACTGAAACGTAATTTTCATACGTAAAATTGCTTTTGAAAACGGAGAGTGGAGAGGAGAGAAAAAAAAAACCCCTGTACTTTATAATGCTGAAGGGATAATTTTTACCGGTTTTCCATTAAAAAACTGGAATGTGATATGGATAAATTGACAAGAACATGTCCTGATAATGATCAATTCATGAAATTGTCAACTTTTGCAATGCCGGAGGCATTTCAGTAATCTATTGTTATTAGTTTTACATTTATGACAAGATGACCGTTATAGGATTGATTCCATACCTTTCAGCAATTTTATCCAGTTTAATTCACTTTAAACTTCGAATAGCCGATTATTATCTTTTTACTACCATTTATTCTTTGATTGGAAAATTGAAAAGTTTCAAAAGCACAAAGATTACATTCTGATAATTTCCCTCTTTTAAATTTCTCATATTTCAATAATGATAAAATCAATGAAATCTGCATAAATTACTGTATTTTTCCACAGTCCTATGAAGATATTTTTCACAGAAAAACGTTATTGAAAGAGTTATTAAACCTTAGGATCAAAGGTCATTCAGGATCATCTGAATAAAGAGTTAAAGATTATAAGTGAAAACCATTTCAAATGTATTTAGGCGAACATGTTTATCTAACATACTAAAATCGAAGAAGGAGAAAGCTTTTTTGTTCATTTTCAGGAAGTTATGAACCGAAGTCGTCCACCAGTTCTTTCTTTTTTATTTTGATAAATGACCCATTGCCAACAAAATCCTCGACTTCTAAGGTTATCGGGATAATTGATTGCTCGAATTCTAGACAAAGAGATAGGCATATTCAAAGAAAAAAAAGATGTGTACAACTTTTCTCGAGATTATAGGCATTTTTGTCAGGAATTAATCGGGAATTCTCCATCTCTCTTTAAATATTAAATATTAAGGTTCTGAACTTTCTCGAGTAAAATTTGGATCAATAATTAGATAACCATGAGGAAAATGACCATTTAAAAGCATATTATTCGTCCACAAAGAGAACAACCTATTTCTGCCGATACATTTAGAGTTATAGCAATTTAAGCGATATTTTGCTGAGAACGATAGAAGAGTCCTGCAGTTTACGATCAATTGTACTGTGAGAGCCATTCATATAAGTGACCATTAAGATGACATCTGTCCTGATATGAATATAGGGTAATGAAGGTAATTATGTTATATTAGATGTAACATTTGTACAGCCCACTAAATATTTCACACCAGAGTTTTAGGACATATACCCATATATTAGAGGTCAATGCGGTGTTGTTCCAAAGAAAAGCAGTTGAATAGCAAGCAAAAAGGGAATTGAAGGTTGATAGTTGAGAACAGATAGAAGAGGGAGGTAAAAAGAACAAATTGGATGACGTTATCACCAGTACTGCATAAGACCACAATGACCATCAGATACTTCTGGCTATTCTGCTTCCAGATTGGAATCAGTAGAATCAATTAGTTAGAAAGACCAGTATCCAGTTATCATTTCTTCTTGTTGCTAATATTCAAGATAATTGATATCAGCAAGGAAACGTGAAGAGATGACGTTTCCGAGTTTTGAGACAATAAGTGCACGTCAAGAGTTTTAGTACTTCATTTGGACTTAATGATAATAAAACAAAAATAAAGATAAACGAAGAGGCAAAGAAGACAAAATGATAAGTATCTCTGAATTCTCAATCCTAAAATTCTAAACTTAAAGAGACCCAGAGTACCAATCTACTCTCTGCTATAAATACTATCAGTACTGGACATCCATCGTATAATTCAAATTAGAATCTGCAATTCTTAAATCATTAAGAGATATTGAATTCTCTTTTTATATTACTATTGTTCTTATTTTGCCATTATCTAATTACTATTATCCAGCTACTCTCTGTCACCTGTTAATGTCGTATGATGCACTGGATTTACACTTTAATTTTCAGTTAACATATTTATCCTTTACTATAAAAAAAAAAAAAAAAAAAAAAAACTGTGTATTACGAACCAAACCGGTAACATATTCTGGATTTCTTTTATGATGACTTTGAGATTCTAATATGCTACTATCCTTTTTTTAGGAATATATGGAGCTTACCGAACTATTTGTCGTGCTTGTCACCCAATCTTCTGACCAATTGTTCATTCCTTGCTGACTACGATGTACAGTCTGCTCATACTATCATTGATTACTGTCGATTATATCGTCGTGAAATCATCAACTGTCGTCGGGATTGTTATTTGGATTGTCCTCGTTGCTTGAATGTTCCCAGGAACTGTTCCACTCAGATGATTTTTGACATATTTTATCGAATTTTACCGAAGAATCTGAACGCAAAACCGATCTATATCAACGGTTTCTTGCCAATTTTTACATCATCTGGATATCGATCACAAGGTTTCTATCAAGGAACCATACAACATTACCTGAATTTGCAAGATGCTTTCAGAAACTTTTCCATGAAACATCGAAAATTCGTATTAAAAGGTAAATGAAGTGATTTGTGACCGTATTTCAGAATAATCAATGAATATCAATCATCATGTTTATGCTAGAAGCGTCGCGTTTTTATTCTTTATTTCATGTAATTTTTTAAATTTTCAAAATTAATTTAGAAAGTTGTTGAATGATTATCTGTAATAAAATGAAATGTGTATCTGATAGATTATAAATATCTGCCAATTGGATATGGCTACATAGTTATCACTACAATTTACTAAATTTATTACCTTTCCATTATCATTTGATAGATCTAAAGTGAAATTGTAAGAGCAATACCTTTCTTCACTAACCACTGATATCATTTGCGCCTTTCAGGATTATCAATGGATATCAAACGTGATCTTCTCTATGATGGTGCCAAACGTGATTCTCTCCTTGCTTGCGGTGCTGCATTTACCGTATTCCTAATTGTCTTCTTATATTCACTTAATATTTTCTACTGTATTACGGTTGCTTTCGTGCTATTTGCATCAGTTCTAAGTGCTTTAGCGGTATATTCCTTATTTACGGTCGATTTTCCACTCCTAAATTTGGTCATATTTGTCCTTCTGCTAGCAATTGGCTCAGATGATGCTTTCATATTATTGAATTCATTTCCGGAAGATGTGACATCACAAGGTATTCATCACTGTTTGTCACATACCGCCAGTGCTATGCTATTAACTTCCTCATCAACAGCTGTACCATTTTTTACCAATATTCTTAGCAGTGTTGTTGTCTTTCGGTTAGTTTTTTTTTTACAATTAAGCTTTCATCATGGAGTTTCAAGTGAAAACTTTAGAAACTTTCTTGAATTTTGAAAATTCGCTCGAACTGGAACAAGTAAAATTTTGAAATGAAATTGAAATTTTCAAAAAATTAATTTTATATATTTTTATCTTTCTTTTTTTCTTATATATTAACATTTTGTTGCATAATTGAAAGAGATATTTTAACACTGTGTATTTCATTTCGATGAAAATAATTTGTAAGACGGAAAAGAACTTGTCACCGTCTAGTTGCAATGTCACAGTATCTCATTAGTTCTGAAACTCCTGGCACAATCGATCTGTCTTAAATATTTGAAGAAGATTCACTCTTTGCAGATGTTTTGGATTATTTGCCGGTATCACGTTGGTATTCAACTATTTGCTGGAGATATCACTTCTTCCAGCAATGCTTATATTCCAGGATCGTTACATTCAACGCTGCATATCATGGCGTATATTTTCTAAACTTAATTATTTAATGCGTGATTTGCTACCCTTTGTTATCATTTCGGGTCGTTACATTTGGATCTTATCTTTAACTGCTGTTGTTGCTGCTATGACCTATCTGACCTATGCTAATCTTCAATTCCCACCATATAATCCACTACAACTTTTCACTGATTCCAACGAACATGAATGGTATGATAATAATGCGGAGAAGAACTTTGAATTTGTCGCTAATAAGCTTCAAATTCCTATCGCTGTTCGATTAATTTGGGGCTTGACACCACGTGCTTCACAAAATATCTTTCAACCCGATAAGTTAACCTCAGTGCAGCATGATCCGAGATTTTCACTACGAAATATAACCGATATACAGGAGCTAGCATTAAAGCTACGTGGTTACAGGAAACTAAGTTTTGTTAATCATGAAAGCCAATATTGGCCAGAAAGGTAAAATTTTCTTATAACATGAAATAAAAGTGGCACAAAAATTGTTGAATATAAATGTTAATTTGAAATAAAAATTTTAATTTAAATTCCTAAAACCATAATATTTACGTTTACATATACATTTCAGATATCTTGTTTGGAGTGGTAATTTTACCTGCGAACCATCTAAAGTATGTTGTAATCTTTCTGATTCAAATTTTCATGAGAACTTGACAGACTACTGTATCCGGCTATCAACATCATATCTTTACACGCAGTATAACGATACACCAATATATGACAATACTACTTTCAACTTAGTTGGTTATACGGCATTGATACCAACACAGCTCAAATATTCACATCGATTCAAGAATCTATCTCATTCCTTTGATCTATTGCGACATTCATTTACTAATATGAATCATGGTAAGTTTGAAGGAATCTTAATCTATCAATACATACCACAATTCAGTAACCTAAAATTATTGGACTCCTTTAATTGCACTCATTTCTTCACTGTGATTACTTCGAGGTATTTCTCCATTTGCATTAGGACATTCAGAAATGAAATAGAATGGTTTTCCACGATTCTATATAAAACTAATTGGTCAGTGTGCTGGTCAGCATGTCTTATACTGGTTTTCATAAGTGCACACATCCACATTAATCGAAATGTCATTCCAATTGCGTTTAATGGACGCTGGATGCCTTTTTGATACTAATACCATTTATGCACAATCTAATGGGCAAATTATTGCAGGTGGATGGTATACTACAGAGTGGACATTAATTTGCATATGGTTTGATTTACTAAATTCGATAATTACCGATTGTCGTCAATCCTTGTTTCTGTCCTTTTCTGTTGTGGCGGTTTTTGCATTTCTTCATCTACGCATTAAATCACTGATTGCATTAACTACAATCTGTTGTATCGTCATTGTAACGGTCGGTTGTGTGACAACACTAGGCTGGGTGATCGGTGTTCTCGAAGCAATCATTCTGGTACTTGTCGTTGGTTTATCATTCGATTTCACGCTACATTATGGTGCTTCTGTACCAAATACTGGTTGCGGTAAGCATCGTATTTGGCTGGCAGCTCGTAAATCGGTAATTCCGGTCAGTTTATCCGCTCTGTCATCCTTTGCCGCCGGTAGTTCAATGTTAATCGCCGAAACACATGCTTTTCATCAAGTATGAGTTTTTTCTTCTTTTTCGAATTAAATTTATTAAAATTAATTTATTAATCTTGGTTTTGTTGAATGGAAGAATTTTTAATTTAGATTTACAACTAACGAACAAATGAAAAACCATGAAAGTTACCATATGAAAAGTCAATTTCTATCACAAGTTCTTAGTATGTCTTTATAGAAACTGAAAGTTTCATTCAGGGAAACACCTTCAAAAGTAAAAAACACTTCAGGAAGACTCCAAACTTAATATGGAAGTAATGCGCATACATGAAAAGCTTCAAGTATTTCAGGTTGGTGTATTTTTGGTAACATTAGCCAGCGTTAGCTGGCTTTTTGCGACATTCTTCTTCTTGCCGCTTCTATCCTTTACATTGCAATCAAACGTGAGCTGTACATTGTGTCGAGAAGATTCCACCATGCAAATTAATCTACCGATGAAAGAAAAGTCGACCTTCATGTAACAGTTATTTGAGAAATTGGATGATGCAAGACGCAAAAGTTTGGAACGCTTAAATCAGCCATGTAAAATCTATTTCTTGTAAAGGTATCGATTGCGGTAATATTTTAGAACTTTCCGGAAATATGCACAAAAATTTTTTTCTTTTTTTCTAAGAAGTAACATTAATTCTATCTGTGGAATATATCCCATTCAAAAATAAGACAGTAAACGGAAACGAAACAGACCGGACAATTTTAGCTACGTCATCGAAGTTCTTCATATTTCTTGGAGATTTGCTGAGAAGCATCAAAATAATTCTGGTGAATTAAATTTCGATAAAATATTCAAATTTTAATGAATTCATTAGGCTTTGCCCTATTACATTATAAATTATAAATTTGTTAATTGGCGTTGGTGTATTTTTTATTTGTTCTTAAAAATTCATTTAAATGCCTGATGTTGCCCATATTGTCGTCAATTTGCTTACATTATTCATATCACATTGTGAATTATTTTGGGCGCAAAATTTTCAAAATTCTGAAATATTTCCATAATTAAACGAATTTTCCCGAAATTTACTTCAAAAATTTTCAAGTTCGCATACATTCGAAAGAGAATGACTGAAAAAAAAAAAAGGAGACAGAATGTTTGAAGGACAATATCGGAAAAGATTTCTTCACTTAGCTGCGATATATTTTGTGGAAATATTTATTGGCTATTAGAATTGTATATATTGAAAAATAATGGCAATTTAAAAAATTATGCGCAAAAAGACTCTTCTACTCCTTTTTTTCTCTCTCTCCCTCTCTTTCCTTCAATGAATGTATCATTTGACAATTGAATCGAAATAGTTTAAAGGGTTTAGTTATCTAGGCGTTCACCAAATAGAAACTTTAACGCTTTTCTTAAAATTTTCAGTTAATTTATTGATAACTATTTTAATTATGGTGATAGGATTTTGATTATAGAGATAGGATGATCATTGGTGAAACTTCATTAATTAAATAGTCTAATTATCTAATAAGCGCTCATTCAACTTCATGTTTACTTTTTAATTGCCAGAATTGCATTTGTTATTTACTTAGCTGAATTTATAATTAATCAAATGAGTAATTTTCTTGCAAACCTTATAAGACAAATTTTGTTAATAATTTACAGTATCATATTTATTTAAGCATTTATTAATTGAAACGTATGATTTTATTGTTAAAGTAATACGTTGGAAATTGAAATATTGCGGGTTTTTCTTTTTCAAATGCTTTCATTTATTATTTGGCATAAAATTCTTGCTAATTAATTAGTTAATATCACAACAAATTGAATGAGAAATTGGATTTGTGATAAAGTGATCGAAACAGATTTGCGATAAAATTTACATTTCGTTTCAAAAATTGATAAATTTTACTTCATTTTCTATTATTACAACTTCACTAACAGCAGAACCTGGTATTTATCATCAAATCTGTTGCTGATTGATTTCATCTGCATTCATTTCATTTTGAAAAAAAAAAAGGAAAATTCAAAAAAAAGTGGACCTTGATGTCAAATGAATGATGAATGATGATCGTAGGAACTAAACTGTCATTTAGGAATCTCCAGAAGAGAAATTATCAGCTGGTATCAGTTAATTTTTAATTTGCAGTATGCCATATGCTGTCTCTTCTTACTAAAGTAATATTAATTCCATTTTTGGAATATATCTCTTGTCATCGAAGTATTTCGTGTTTTCGGGAAGTTCGCTGTGAAATGTCAAAGTAGTTTTGGTGGATTGGATTTAATAAAAAAAAAGAAAAATTCAAATTTTAGTGAATTTATTACGAATCATTTTGCTAGAAGTTACAAAATGAATTTGTTTCAGCTTATTACATTATAATTTACAAATCTATTAATTAGTATTGGTCCCTTTTTTTACTTATCTTCAAAATTCTTCAATGCCTCGGCGATGCGCATATTGTCAACACTTACATTATTCATATCGTATTGTATATTATTTTGAGTTTAAAATCTCGAAATTTTTCCATAATTGAAGAATTTTGAAAATTCTCTTCAAAAATTTCAAGATATTGATATACAATTCAGGTGAAAATGACTGGAAACAAAGTGGCATAAAATTTAAGCCGCAAAAGCTTTAACAGCTATGACTGCGATGGTTTTTATTTAAGATTACAGTTCATATCAGTCCTGTCCTGAAATTTCTCAAATCTTCCAAAATTCATTTGTCAAGTGAATTCGTTCATGTCAAATCGTCACAGAAATTCTAACAAAAACTTATTAAACTATTGATAAAAAGGAAAAAAAAGTTAGAAAATACTTATTTGCAATGTTAATTAAAAATGTCATGGAAATCTTTTAATGAACAAGTAAACTAGTATTATAAATGATTTAGCTGCGTCATTTCATTGGTTTACAATTTATATTATAAAAGTACGAATCATAGCAATAAATTAGCACCAAGCAAAACAATCGCTGTAATTAATTTAATTAAGAACGAAGAACTGAAGATTAAAATGGGTCATGTAGTTGTGTTATTTTGGAAGCCTAAATTTTGTCTGATGTTTTTTCGTTCAATGATTCGATATACTATTTCTTTTTTTTCCTTAAAAATGTTATTTATTCAAAATTACTTCAAATGGAATGCCGCAAAAAAAGACGTTCCCTCTCCCTCTTTCCTCCCACCCCCTACCCCCCCCCCCCCCCAAATTAAAATAATTTATTATTTGAAAAAAGTTATACAAATCATGAAGAATAACTGATTTTAAAACTGAAGCAATCCTTTACGGTTATTTATTTTTGTTTACAATTCTTATTGTTACTGAATAATACATTTACATCAAATTTCCCTTTGGTATATTCAATAACGCATAATTGAAAGCTCTCAGAATCACTTTACAGGCATTCAACTATTTCAAATTTTCTGTTAGTGAAATTTGAAACAACCGGTTTTATTATATTTTAAACATTTTCTAATAAAATATAAAATACAAATTTTTGCTTTAAATTGGTTAATTGAAAAATGAAAAATTTATTTATGAAATAACCACTCGAAAATTATTAATATATTCAAGAAGAATTTATAGAAACTAATGTAATTAAAGAAAGATTTAGGTACTCAATTTTATAATTTAAGTGATTTTGCAAGTAAATATTTCTGTGGAAATATAATAAAAGGCTAGAAATTAATTTTCATGAACTTAACACAACTAATGATTGCTTGCCACTTGGTAATTAATTATTTAATTGATTAGTTTCCTAATTATATAAAGCCAATATATTCAACCTTTTATTTCGCAATGTATTCATAGACAAAAAAACTATTCCAAACATTTTTCGCTAACTGCGTGACCAGTTTTTGAATTGCTATAAATAAATTAAATTTAAATTAACTTGCTACTCTTGAGCCTAAATAAATTGGTAAAATTTTTTTGCTGCATGGTACTTTTAATATTTTTTGAAATTTGTGAAATATTTAAGAATCTTGAAAGGAAGTGCTTATCATTTATTCTAATGCTTCCCATCTATTACATCTTTTATACTATCATCGAATATTCAGCTTGTGATTTGTCACCGAACTTTCTAAACAGGACGAAAAATTAAAAAAAATTGATAATACATTTATTCTTTTGATAAGATTTATTTTAATGGTACTGTAACCTCACTTGTCATTCATTCATTTTTACCAAACAAGAATTTGTGAGCAACAATTACATTTCAAACTATCTTTAAAGTACATTTTACTTTCTCTTCAATCAGTAATTTTAGAATTTTTTCTCATAGTTACTTTGCTATGAGAAGAAATGGGCGACAAGTCCGGGAAATATAAAATGAAGGAAATTGTATTTTCAATTTTTTCGAAATGAATATAATTAGTAATGAAAAAAAAAAAAGAAACTGTTGACATTATCTTTCATTGAAGTAAATAAAGGATTACTTCTTGTTGAAATAAACTTTTTTATTTCAAATATTTATTGGTGAGTAAACATTAAAGATTTCCTTCAATTAATTTATTTTTGGTTTTTTGATCGAATACAAAAAGACAAACATCAGAGGAAGTCATCAAATGGTTTTGAGAAGAGACAAGAAATGATTAACTCTTTTTCAGGTTATTTACGGAAGAGCAAATTTTTTTAAAGTTCTTTTATGACGAGCAATACAAATGGTATTTTTGAAATTGTTCTGCGAATAATTACAAGCGGAAAAGTTTCACCCTCTCTCTCCCTTTTTCTCGTTCTCTCTCTATGTTTGCATACTTTTATTTCTTCATTAAAACTTTATCATGTTTTTTGGCAAAACTGAAGTACTTCCGGTTGAAGAACTTCATCATACCGGAAAGATATTTAACAAAGCAATATAATTACTGTAGCATGAATCTCTTATGAGAGATTGAATTTTAGAATAAATAATCGAACAATTTCGTAATCGTTGTCAAATTCCATCAAAATGAATTCCTTTTATATCACTTTTATTAAAAATTCCTCAATTGCGCATATTTAACTTTTTGGGAGCATTCATTTACAGTATTAATTATCATGATACTAATAATTTGAGAAAGTTAATTAATTTTACTTCTTTTATATCATCTGTTACGGATACGGTAATTAAAATATGGGTTATCTATGGGTTAAAGTCATCGGTAGAATTAGAAATGGTTAATACTGTAGACTGTTTGATTTTATATGCATAAAAATATCCAACAAATACTGAACTTATCGTTTTACGACGGTTTTTCTTAACAATTGTCAGATAAAAGTATTCTTTGTAAGACTGTTAAACCTTTAAAGGATTTATCAGTGATAAGGATATATGAGATAATTGATATCTTAATTGATAAAATGTGATGATCTTGTAATCCAAATGATGGCACAATTAGAAATGTTACACAGCGTCGAAAAGTCTGTTCGATAATAACCCAAAGTAGTTCATTTTCCATTTTCGAAAGCCATCCTTACTATGCGACATTTCAAATTTTACATTTCGAGTTTTCTTCATTCTTTTCAAATTACTACTAATTGCATTGCTATCATGCTACCTTACTTTACCCATCTTACTCTCGATTTACCTATTTCCAAAAAAAGGGAGGATGTCTGTGTGGGTGTGTAATTATAGAAAAATAAAATAACGATCAAATATTGCAATAATTTTTAAGAGTAAATGTAAATGAAAAGTGAAAAACAAAAGAAACATCAAAAATTAATAAATGTGAAATAATTTTAGGAAATATCCCTCAAATTATATGGAGGAAAAAGTTCAATTATATGCAAATTTAGAATAAAAATTTCGAGGAAATCAATAAATTAAGCATTTCCTAAAGGATATTTGTTGAATATTAAAGCGCTTTTGTCCAATATGATAACATTTGAAGTGTACGAGATTGTGTTTAGTTTTTAGGTGTTAAAATTGCAAACAAAGGCGCCAATTTCATCTTCTTTGTGCAACCATCCCATAGATGGAATAATCGAGAAAGTGAAGAAATTTCGTTGAAGAGAATTGATCTTGCGTCAATCAGTTGATGACAACGAAGACGAAAAAGGGGAAAGAAGAAGAAAGAAAGGAAAACTGCGGGAAACACGTTTGCAAATTAACAAAAAAAAAATAAAAGAGAGACGAAGATTTATTTGACGCTGTGGGGTAGTTCGATTCTTCTCTTCGTCATCATCAAACTTCTCTATCATCAAAATATCGTGGCAACAATTCACGAATCCTTGGATAAAATTTCACTGTTCCTTGATAATAAATATAAATTTTCATCTATCAACTACAACTACACAAACATTTTCCACTTCGTATTACAAACAGAATGATAAAGGAATTTGTAATACTTTTACTACCATGGTTACAAAGAGTTATCAGTATTGGCTTTCATGACATCCCGGGAATTTACTGTGCAAAACGGTCATCAACATGTTGTCCAAATCGTGATGATGAATGTACGATGCCAATCCTAGGAAATCATCTCTGTTATTGTGATATGTTTTGTGATCGAGGCGAATATGGCAATGATTGCTGTCCAGATTTCAAGGCGGTTTGCCGATACAGACCAAGAACATTTGCGCGAGGTCAGGTAATTTGATAAGAGTAGTGCAAAACGATTTTGCAACTATACTCCATTTTATTATGCGCCATTTCTTACACACGTATATAAATACACACGCACACATACACATACACACACACACATACACACACACATACACACACACGCACACGCACACGTACATACACACACATGCAGACACATACACACATACACATATTGCATTGTCAATTAGGTATGTTTTTTAATTAATTTAATTATTATTAACAAGATTTTATTTAATAATTTATATTTATGAAATGTTTTATGAAAGCAGCTAAATTAAACCATATATGTGTTAATCAAATTATCAGTTTGTTGATAGCAAAGCTTGGTATTTCAGCAACTATCATCATTACAATCATATCAGAAAGATTCATTTTATTCTAAAGATATTCTTGTCATCAAATTCTTGATCTACTATTGACATTTATCTGCTTCACTAAATTCCGGAAATCAAATCCGGT